AAAAAGTCTTTAACACGGGGCAAAATTTCTAATTTTGAGTGTTTTTGAAAGGCAAATTTGTTTGGAGAAAATCGTATTTAATTGTGCTGAAATGGCCCAATAGAAAAACAGGGTTAAAAGACGAATTTTAAGTGTTTTTAAATGGTAACTTTTCTTGGCCGAAACCGTATTCACGTTTGATAAAACAGGATATATTTCTTAAAATTTTGACTTTTTTAAAAAAGGATGACTTCGAAAAACCGGGCAAATTCTTTAAAAATTTTAACTTTTTAAAAGTTACTTTGAAAACCAGGCTAAAAGCATTAAAAATGTATTGTGTTCTGACGGGGCCTTTGTAGTAGTTTACTTTTTCACAACATATTGTAGCTTTAACTTCAAACTTGTCTAAAATGTTGGGTTTTATAATGCGTGCTTCGGCACATTTTAAAAATCCATTGTTATTAAAATTCTTGTATTTTGCGTTTATTGTTAGTCAAGTGGAATATACGTAAGTTTAGCTTTTTCTTAGAGAGTCTTTTATAGGCAAGCAGTAGGCCCGCCCACCCACCGCCTCTTCATTCTGGTGACTACTCTTAATACTGTTAATTATTGACAATATTATTGTGTCACTAGAATCTTCTATAAATCATTCGATCTACACCTTACATTTCAAGGGGTTTTTCTTTGTTTAAAGTGATCGCGATGTTTTATTCGCCATATTACATATAATACAACATAGGTTAATGGCACATCAAATTAAAATACAAAATATAGAATGTGCAATAAGGAAAATATAAAATATAAATGTAAATAGCCTGAACCAACCAAAATCTTGGAGAGTTTGTTATCAATTTTTAAATTCTCTAATAATTTCTTGCATCAAAATTTATTAAGTTTTATGCCAGAGAGAGAAATTTCGAGTCGCCAAGTTCTTTTTTTTAATCTAAGAAAATTTTGAGGCTGCATGCGAGTGTTTTGTTTTTGAAAAAATTTAAAAGAATTTTAGGGGTTTTGATGTTTAATTTTTGATTTTTTGAAGAAATTTGAAAGAATCTTGAGTTCCTTCGTGTTTTTTTTTTTTTAATTTAAAAGAATTTTTATGCTGGGAGCGTTTTGTTTTTGAATAAATTGAAAATAATCTTGGGGGCCCATTATTTTTCAATTTTGAAAAATGTTGAATCTTGAGGTACCTAGAGTTCTTTTTTTTAGATTTTAATCAAATTCTCAGTATCTTTTTTTTAAGATCGTGAAAAAATATTAATATTCACATTGCGGGGGATTTGTGAAAGCAATTGAAAGAATCTTGCTTCTATTTTGGAGAAAGTTAAAAGAATCTTGATGACCCTAGTGATTTTTTTTTTTAATTTAAGAGAATTTTGAAACCGCGGGTGTTTTGTTTTTGAAAGATTTTAAAAGAATCTTGATGTTTCATTTTTGAAGAAAGTTGAAAAAATCTTAAGGACCTTGGCGTACTTTTTTCGAATTTAAAAGAATCTTGAGGTCCCTTGATTTTTTTAGAATTTAAAACAACTTTAAGCTAAATATGATCGTTTTGTTTTTGAAAGAATTATAATAGGAGTCTTGAGGGCTGCTTCATTTTTAAAGAAATTTGAAAGAATTCTGGAATACTTAGAATCTAGAAGAATCCTAGAGATTCCACTGTTCGTTTCTAAGAATCTAAAAAAATTTGAGGCCGCGGGTGTATTGTTTTTAAAAAAATCTTGGGAGGCAGTAATTTTAATTTTTGAAGAAAGTTGAAAGAATTTTCAGATTTCTAGTGTTTTTTATACTTGAAAATAATCTCAGAGTCCCAATATCTAAAAGAATCTTGAGACAGCCGATGTTTTCTTGAAATAATTTGGGATCCCTAGTTTTTTCTTTCGAATTTAAAAGAATATTGGAGTATTCAGTGTCTATTTTTAAGAATCTAAAAGAATTTTGAGCACGTGGGTGTTTTGTTTTTTAAAGAATTTAAAAGAATCTTGAAGTTTGTAGTGTTCTTTTTTTAGAATCTTGGAGTCCACAGTGTCTTTTAAGAATTCAAAAATATCTTGGAGTACCTTTTTTTAATTCTAAAAGAAATTTGTAACCGAGAGTGTTTTGTTTTTGAAAAAAATTGAAATTATCTTGGAGTCCCAAGTCTTTTCAAGATTCTAAAAGAAATCTGTGACCGGGGTCGTTTTGTTTCTGAAAGAAATTGAAAAGCTTTTGGGGGGCCTGGATGTTTCATTTTTGAAGAAAGTAGAAAGAATTTTGAGGACTCTAGTAGTTCTTTATTGGAATTCAAAAAGCGTCTTCGAGTCTATAGGGTTTTATTTTGAGAATCGAAAAGAACTTGGTGTTTCATTTTAGAAGAAAGTTGAAAGAATTTTGAAGTACCTAGTTTTTTTTTTAAGAGTTTAAAAGAATATTGGCGCCTTTGGTGCATTTAGTCTTTTTTTTTAAGAGATTAATAAAACTTTGTTTAGAAGAATCCTAGAATCCTCAGTGCACTTTTTAAGAATCTAAAAAAATCTTGAGGTAGCTGGTGTTTTTTTTTATAAATTAAAAGAATTTTAGGGTGCCTAGTTTTTTTAATTAAAAAAATTCTTGGAGGTTTCAACGTCTATTGTTAAGAATCTAAAAGAATCTTGAGGACGTGAGTGTTTTGTTTTTAAAAGAATTTAGAAGAATCTTGAGATTCGAAGTATTTTGTTCAGAATCTGAAAGCATCTTGGAATCCACAGATTCTTTTAAAGAATGTGGAAAAATCTTAAAGCTGCGAGTGTTTTGTTTTTTAACCAATTTAAAAGAATTTCGGGGGGTCATTGTTTAATTTTTGAAGATTCTAAAAAAATATTCACATCGCGGGCGTTTTTTGAAAAAAATTGAAAGAATCTTAAGGGCCCTTGATGCTTCTCTTTTGGAGAAAGTTGAAAGAATCTGTTTTAAATTTAAGAGAATTTTCGAGTACCGAGGGTCTTATTTTAAGAATTTAAAAGAGTTTTGAGGCCGCGGGTCTTTTCTTTTTGAACGAATTTAAAATAATCTTGAAGACTATTGATGTTTCACTTTTGAAGAAAGTTGAAAAGATCTTGAGAACCCTTTTTGGAATTTAAACGATTTTTCGAGTGCCTAGGAATCTAAGAGAATTTTGAGGCCGTGTGCGTTTTGTTTTTGAAAGAATTTTGGGGGGTCTGGATGTTTAATTTTTGAATTTTTGACGAAATTTGAAAAAATCTAGTGTTTTTTTACAATTTAAAAGAATTTTTAGGTTGCGAGTGTTTTGTTTTTTGAAAGAATTGAAAAGAATATTGAGGTCCCTATTTTTGTTAGGATTAAAAAAAAATTTAGGTTGTTTTGTTTTTGAAAGAATTGTAAAGAATCTTAGGGGCTCTTGATGTTTCATTTTTGAAAAAATCTGAAAAACTCCCGAGGTTCCTTTTTTTAGAATTTACAATAATCTTGGAGTCCCCAGTGTCTTTTAAGAATATAAAAGAATCTTGATGTAGCGGGTATTTTGTTTTTTGAAAAAATTGAAAAAAATCTTGGGAGCAAATAGTATAGTAAAAAAGCTACAGTTAGAATTAAAGCCTTTTTTACTTTTTTTACATCCTAGGTTCAATTAGTTTCCTCTCACACACGACAGAAGAAAATAATTACGTACATGTATTGTTTGGCAATCACATTATACAAACCGTCAATTAAGGATAGAACGTATTCAGAGACGATTTTTGAAATTTCTTTCTTTCAAACGTGATGGAGTATATCCTTCTAGAAATATTGATTATCAGCTGTTAGATTTATGTAGATTTATGTGGAAATTAATTCATGACTACCTATGTAGATTGTGCCCAGCTCCTTGCTAATATTAATTTTCATGTGCCACTTTTATTTTCGCGTTATTCATCTACATTTACATGTATTAAGGAATTCATCAGTACATAATTTATGTCGGAATGCTAACAATGTATATCTTGACATATCTTGATAAAATTTAATTAATTAGGAATTAGGATAGTACTTTGGGTAGCCAAAATTTATATTAAACCTGTTTTTTGTTCTAATGTTGATATTATTTTGTTATATATTTATAGTGTAAAGAATGTGTTTAATTTAAGTTTTTTATTTTATTATTATTATTATAATGAAAATTTACAAATTTTACTTCCGCACATCTGTAGTAAATTGATTCTGAAATGGATTTGTTTTTGAAAAATCAAAATCGGATAATAAATAATCTTTAAATCACATGCCGAAGAAACAAATTATTGGGGACAAGAGCAGGTATACGCCAAAAGATGACGCTACCCGTCATAAAGAAACGGGTTATAGTTAAAAGGCCAATTATGTTGTGATCAAGAATAATCTTTTACTAGAAATCATTTAACTAATTTTGTGAAGTGAAGTGTCTCTCTGGTGCCCGTGAAATGACGCCAGGAATTAAAAAACACTAAAAATAAAAAAACTATAAATTTAAATTTGATAATACTGCTGGTAATTTTTTATTGTATTAATTTGTCGTTATTAATTTTATAAATTTGACACCTTTAAAATCATGATTCTTTGTTTTTGTGTCGTTTTTGTTTTTCCTATTTTGTATTAATTTAATTTTTCTGTCTATTTATGCTAGTAAAAAGTTTTTCAGGCGATTCTAAAGAATGTATTTGTATTTCAAATAAAACCTACTAATAACGAATAAAAATATTCGGAATGAAGGGTATTCCGAACAGTAAGTATGGGCCGAATTTACCTGGAAGGACGGCTTTAACACCCAGGGGTTTCTCCAATCGTCCAATCTATCATAAAACCGAAACTTTTCCTGGTTATTTGAAACTCAGGACAATATTTACAACATGAATCATGACATTTCATCTTTCTAGATAAATCCCGATAGAATGACGATAAATTGTTTTTAAATTAACACAAAAATTGATAAAAAAAGCAAAATATGCAGTTTACAAACATAACAAATTCAAAGTAAGCGCGTCCGCACTCTATACCCACTTCATCGCTGGTCGGGTGGAGGGGGTGCGCGCACACATTGGCTCTTCGCGACCACGCGACCAATTCAGTTTATCCATCCTCTGTTTAGCAAGAAAGCATACTCCAGGATGTCTGAAATTTCACCTTCCGATCCCGCTGTCGAATTTAATTTACTATGTTTACCAGTGGAGCTTTGGGTCATGATCCTGAGGTACGTATAATTTTATTTTGTTGTTATTTTTCGCTAATATCAGTGAGTATACATGTTAATAGACAGGCAACCTCTTACCCCTCACTTCATTAAAGCATCCACAAACGTAATAGTGGATAGTGGCTCTCCCTTCTTTTTTCTTGTGAACTACGTTAACAGTAGTCTGGACAAACACCATCTCATCAGCCTCGAGGCCATTGTGATTACGTTAAAGCACCCCCGAATGAACGGTGGACTGGCGAAAGGTTTTGTTCAATTTTAGCCAAATTTCAGCCTTTCTTTAATTATTGTTATGATAAGCACATGTTGACAACATGCCAATAAATCCCAATTTTTAGAGGACGCCTGGTGTATGTGTTTAAATTCATACTTTATTTAAATAAAAAAATGAACGGCCATTTTACCATATACGATGGCATGAATGCAAGTTTAGCGCTTGGTGTGTTTAATACATAATTAACATAAATAACTTCCAATTTTTACAACAATTAGGGTGTGCTTACGCATAACATCTGTACTTTACTGGTATAAAAGGAGAAAAACAGTACCATATATTCAGATTGTCCATACAATTCAATTATTACTTAGAAGTCATACGTATCAAATAAGTACATATTATCAAAATAAAAAAAAAATGGTCGAATATTTCCACAGAACTCCCTTCGGTGACTCATTCTTAATTTGATCAATAAAAAGTTTGTTATGCCGTCATAAACATAGATAGTACAAGTCAGCGGCGGATTCGTACACCACAACCATAGGCGTATATTACTGCATAACATTTAAATCATTTTAAAATAAAATTCTTTGAAATGATGCCATCAAATTGTTGGTGGGAATGATTAGTCAAATTTTGGTTACCGTTTTATCGTCCTAACATGTACAAAATTTGACAACAATCGGTACAGTTGTTTCGGAAGTTAGGTATCTAAAAAAAAATTGATACAGACGCCAAACAGACAGACAGACAGACATAAATGGGACACTACTTTTTTCGTACTCGATTACTATATTATATTACTGTAGAGATATTTTATAAAGATTTGAAAAAAACTAGTTTTGTAGTTTTCAAAATAATTTATAGAATTTACTCATATATTTTTCCTTCCTGAATGCCGTCACGAATTTTTATTAGACAGATAATCTCCGAAAGTACTGAGCCGATTGTTGTTGTCAAAATTTGTATTTTATATTAGGAATTTCATGTACATGGTAAAACGCTAACCAAAATTTGTCTAATCATCCTCAGCAATAATGTGATAACGTCACTTCAAAATTGTACATATTAAATGGGTTTTAATTTGTATAAAATAATATAGTTCTACACATGTAGTTTTACCAGAAACGTCAAGATTTTTGGAAAAAAATCAAAAGTATAACACATTTTGCAATTTAATTTTGAATCTGCAAAACCGAATGTTTTGAAAAAAAAATTGATACGTCCGCTCAAAATTTTGCACAACAATGTATGTATGTAATGGAACAAATCAACAAATTTTTTGTTTGGGTTTCTCGAGTTTTCGATTTCTCGATTTTTTTATTTTTCAGTTCTTCAGTACATATTCAGTCAATTTTCCAATTTTTTTCTTCGAATTTTCGATTTTTAAACTTTAGATTTTTCAATTTTTCGACTGCTTTATGTTTCGATTTCTCACTAGTCTTTCAACTTTTCGATATTTTAATTTTTAATTTTTAAAATTCTAGATTTTTCGATTGCTCGAGTTCTCAGTTCTTGTATATTTTAATTTTTTACTTTTCCGAGTTTTTAAATTTTCGATTTGTCAATTTTTTGCGATCTCGATTTATCGAAATGGGGATAGTTTAATCTTTCAATTTATCAATTTTTCTATTTTTAACTTTACGATTTTTCGAATTTGGCCTATTTCGGTTTCTCAATTTTTCGATTTTTCGACTTCTCCACTTTTCGACCCCTCGATGTCTCAGTTTTTGAATTTTTCGATGTTTCGATTTTTCAATTTGTCGGTTTTTCGATTTTTAGTTTTAGATATTTGCTTTATTCGTTTTTTCAACCATTGTTCCATTTTTTTTTAATTTTCCAATTTTGGTTTCTCGATTTGTTGATTTTTTAGATTTTCCATTTTCAAATTTTAGATTTTTCAATTTATATTTTATTGAATTTTTGATGTTTAGATTTCTCCATTTTTCAATTTTACGATATTTTAATTTTTCAATGTTTTAAATTTTAGATTTTTCAATTTTTCAGTTCAGTATTTTTAAATTTTTACGTTTCAGGATTTTCAGATTTCTGATTTCTCAATTAATCTACTTTTTGTTTTTCCATTTCTCGACTTCCCAAAGTTTCGATCTTTCAGTTCTTTAGTTCAATTTTTCGATTTTTCAGGTTTTTGATTTTTAAATTTTTCCATTTTTTAACTTTGCGATTTTTCGAATTTGCTTCTACTTTTACGTTGTCTTGACCTTTCGTGGCCCTAGAGTACAAAGAAATAGGTCTCCCGTTTCCGTTTGTCTGTCCGCAGTCACGAATTTTTATTAGTCAGATAATCTCCGAAAGTACTGGGCCGATTGTTGTCAAATTTTGTATTTTATATTAGAAATTTCATGTAGATGGGAAAACGCTAACCAAAATTTGTCTAATCATCCCCACCAATAGTGTGATAACGTCACTTCAAAATTGTATCCAGTAAATGGGTTTTAAATTGTATAAAATGCACATGTAGTTTCTACGTCTGAATTTTTCGATTTTTTATTTCTTCGTTTTTAAACTTTAGATTTTTCAATTTTTCGAATGTTTTATATTTCGATATTTTTCAGTGCTTCAGTTCAATTTTTCGATTTTCAGGTTTTTGATTTTTAAATTTTTCGATGTTTTAAATTTGCGAGTTCTCGAATTTGCTTTTTAACTTTTTGGTTTCTGAATTTTTCAATTCTTTAACTTTCTAATTTTAGAATATTTTGTTCAATTTTGTGATTTTTCAGTTTTTCTACTCTTTTTCAGTATTTCGATTTTTCTAATTCTGGATATTTCGATTTCTCGACTTTTTACTGTTTAGATTTTCAACTTTACGTTTTTTAAACTTTAGATTTTTCAATTTTTCGACTGTTTTATACTTCGATTTCTCAATTTTTCAACTTTTTTTTTTCTCAATTTTGAATATTTCTTTCAGTTTTGGGATTTTTCAATATTTCGTTTCTTCGAATTTTCTATTTTCGACTTCTGAATTTTTCGATTTTTTATTTCTTCGTTTTTAAACTTTAGATTTTTGAATTTTTCGACTGTTTTATATTTCGATTTTTCAGTCTTTCAACTTTTCGATATTTTAATTTTTCATTTTTAAAATTCCAGATTTTTCGATTTCTCGAGTTCTCAGTTCTTGTATATTTTAATTTTTTAATTTTCCGAATTTTTAACGTTTCGATTTTTCGATTTTGGCCCATTTCGGTTTCTCAATTTTTCGATTTTTCGACTTCTCCACTTTTCGACCCCTCGAATTTTTCGATTTTTCGATTTGTCGGTTTTTCGATTTTTAGTTTTAGATTTTTGCATTATTCGTTTTTTCAAGCGTTTTTCCATTTTTTTTTAATTTTCGAAATTCGATTTCTCGATTTGTTGATTTTTTAGTTTTTCAATTTTTAAATTTTAGATTTTTCAACTTATATTTTTTTGTTTTTTTGATGTTTAGATTTCTCCATTTTTCAATTTTTCGATTTTTCAGTTCTTCAATATTTTTAAATTTTTCAAATTTTGACGTTTCAAAATTTTCAGATTTCCGATTTCTCAATTAATCTATTTTTTGATTTTTCCATTTCTCGACTTCCCAAAGTTTCGCTCTTTCAGTTCTTCAGTTCAATTTTTCGATTTTTCCATTTTTCGATTTTTTTAATTTTGCGATTTTTCGAATTTGCTTTATGACTTTTTGGTTTCTCAATTTTTCAATTCTTTAACTTTCTAATTTTAGAATATTTTGTTCAATTTTGTGATTTTTCAGTTTTTCTACTCTTCTTCAGTATTTCGACTTTTGGATTTTTCTAATTCTGGATATTTCGATTTTTCGACTTTACTTTACTGTTTGGATTTTCAACTTTTCGTTTTTTAAACTTTAGATTTTTCAATTTTTCGACCGTTTTATACTTCGATTTCTCAATTTTTCAACTTTTCGATTTTTTAACTTTTCAGTTTTTAAAATTTTAGGTTTTTCGATTTCTCGAGTTTTCAGTTCTTCTATGTCTCAATTTTTTAATTTTCCAAATTTTTAAATTTTCGATTTTACATTTTTTATATTTTCGAGTTTCGATTTCTCGATTTATTGATTTTTCAGTTTTTCAATTTTTAAATTTTAGATTTTTCAATTTATAATTTTTTTGATTTTTTGATGTTTAAATTTCTCCATTTTTCAATTTTACGATATTTTAATTTTTCACTGTGTTAAATTTTAGATTTTTCGATTTTTCGGTTCTTCAGTATTTTTAAATTTTTCAAATGTTGACGTTTCAAAATTTTCAGAATTCCGATTTCTCAAATAATCTACTTTTTGATTTTTCCATTTCTCGACTTCCCAAAGTTTCGATCTTTCAATTCTTCAGTTCAATTTTTCGATTTTTTAAATTTGCGATTTTTCGAATTTGCTTTTTGACTTTTTGGTTTTTCAATTTTTCAATTCTTTAAATTCCTAATTTTAGAATATTTTGTTCAATTTTGTGATTTTTCAGTTTTTCTACTCTTTTTCAGTATTTCGACTTTTCGATTTTTTTAATTCTGGATATTTCGATTTCTCGACTTTTTACTGTTTGGATTTTCAACTTTTCGTTTTTTAAACTTTAGATTTTTCAATTTTTCGACTGTTTTATACTTCTATTTCTCAATTTTTCAACTTTTCGATTTTTTAACTTTTCAGTTTTTAAAATTTTAGGTTTTTCGATTTCTCGAGTTTTCAGTTCTTCTGTATCTCAATTTTTCAATTTTCCGAATTTTTAAATTTTCGATTTTCCATTTTTTGTTATTTTTCGATTTTCCAATTTTTCGATGTTTCGATTTTTCATTTATCCATTATTCAATTTCTCGGTTTTAATTTTTTTATATCTTCATATTTAGACTTCTCAATTTTACAATTTCTCGATATTTGAATTTTTCAAGTATAAATATTGAAATTAAAATTTTTCGACTTTTCAATTTATAGATTTCTCGATTTTTCAAGTTTTCGATTTCTCAATAAATTTCTGATAATATTGAAAAAATTCAATTTCTTTTTTCAATTCTGAACGCTTAGAGTCGACATTGGCCTGAGCGCGCTCCGGTCTGTGGATCAAACATGTTCCCAGGCGAAATACATAGTCACTGCTAATATTTTGTTTCAGATATCTAGACCCAACCTCGCTGATGATGGCTACCAGAGCCAATGACCAATGGGCACGAATCACCCGAGACGACCCAGTTTTGTGGAAGACCCTCAAGGAGCACCTTTTGCAACGAAAAAGACGCTTTGATGAGATTGTGTTTAATATGATTCCACCATTCATACCTATACGTTTATTACTGTCTGCTACCATACAACACCAGGAAGATGGTTCACTTAGAATTACAAGCACAAATGGCAATTATTACAACCCACGCAAAAAGTAAACTTCTCTAAAATGAAAACGTTGGACTAATTCGCAAAAAGCACAAAACAATGAATTTTGTGAAACAGTGTAAAATTAATAAAACTTATTATTGTGTTATGAACTCCTGTCTTTAGTTATCTCAGAAAAACCCAGATTCCAATATGACCATTTATTAACATACAAAATCCATATTTCATGTTTTAAACACGTTTTAAGTTTTCTGTTGCGAAAAGAAGATTACGAACAAGAAAAAAAGGCAAAATATTTTGGCTTAAATGTAGACTTCTTTTCGCGAATTTCTAATTTATTTTATTAATAAATATTAGTGAAAACGTGTTGTGTTAGTACTGTGGATACGAGCGAAAGTGGATATTTTTCCGAAAAGGACCGAAAACGGGGAAGTACGACTTCAGTTTTAATTTATCAAGTTCTGTGATTCGTTTACTCGACAATGTTTAAATTTTCACTATGCAATTAAATAAAATTTAGACATAATTGATATTATTTATAATGTTCAAATATGGTAAGTAACTATTAAGATATGATAATCAAACCGAAAACGGTTTTACTAAAAACACGATGGTATTAAAAACAAACCAATTTGTTTAAATATTGTTAAGTTAATCCTGAAAATGTTGAATTTCCCCGCCAAAATGTGAAAAATAATTTTTGCAATCTCATCGTGACGTGCGATGACGCCACTGTCGCGTGAGCTAGCTGTCCAAAGGTCACGTTTTTCGGTCCTCTGTGTTCAGTTTTAATTTCTGTTTGATGGCGACAAGATCGTCGAGTCCTTTTGGCGTAAAGTAGAGCAATTTCGCGAATTTCTAATTTATTATTAATAAATATTAGGGAAAATGTGTTGTGTTATTGCTGTGAAGTACGACTTCAGTTTGAATTTATCAGATTCCGTGATTCGTTTCCTCGACAAAGTTTAAATTTGGGGGAAATTTTCAAAACGACTGAAGTTGGTCTGTCAACGCTATAAATATTCAGGATATAATTAAATAATTTTTAAACATACAATGTTTAAATATGATAAGGTTATAATTCATAAAGTACGGCGTCGGAATATACAAAGTGCGACGTTCATTTATAAATATAATGTTTCGCCCAAATTTTGATTGTTAAAAATTGGCTGAATCTTTCATCTCATTTGACAGTTCGCACTTGTCATTTTTAACTTGTCATTTAAAATCATCGCTTTTATTAGGATCTTAGTGTTTTGGTGCGAAAATTTTGTGTTTGTGCTGGAAGCGAAGACTGAAAAAAATTCGGTTGGGCAATACACTTTTATTGTTTTTATTCTTATATCTTATTACCGCAATGGGACATTCGTAGATGGAGAGACGTAACCGCTTGTGAGCAAGAATATCTGGCCAAGTGCCCTGGTCATCAATGCGCCTTCAACTTCTGAAAAACAGTTTGAAAATGAACTACATTTGAGGTTATCTAACTCCGTAACATCTTATTATGATAGTAGTGATAGCTGGCAGTAGCAACAAACTAATAAGAGACGAATGCAATGATTTTTAAACTTTTACGTTCAACTGTCAACAGTGTCATTTGTCAACTGTCAACCAAATGTCAGTTATTATGTCAGTCACTTAGGTAAGTCACATGTTTAATGATGCATGCGTTTTCGATATTTAATCATGAAGCATCTAGGCAACCAGTTATATACATAGATGCTTGTACGATGTGGTGCTTGTCGTGCGTCCTTGGGCATTTAGTAAAGCGCACATAAAATGAAAGGCGGCACACATCCATGACCTACTTCGACCCTATAATCATTCACTAAGCTCTAAATTCCCATTTACAAAGCCAGGTTGACGTCGTTTTTATTTGAAGAATTCAGGTATAATAATCCCAGCAGGTCAGGTAAATACAATTGCAAAAGTAAGTAAAAAAAAATTACTTGAAAAGGAATGCAGAAGGGCCATCAAGTTTTTCCAAAAATAAAATTTCATCTGTTCACAAGTTTATTTAATCTCTTTCAAAAGCAAAACATCACAGAGCCCAAGCTTCTTTCAAAATTGTTCTGAAACCAAAACTCTAGAGATCTTGGACTGGATTTTCATAAAGGTAGACACCCAAAAGAAATTACTTCACTTTTGTAATTTTTTTTTGGGTGCGCTTATAAACTAGACGAAACTTTATTTTTCTTGTACGGAAATGATAAAAAATGAACCAGCAACAAAAATTACAAATGTAACACAAACTTCACAGTGGGACGAGTTTACAATTTTTAGATGTATTTAAAACAATTACATGACAAATTTTACGTTACTAGTCACATAATACCGGGTATTTATTTCTAGGTCTGAATAGTCTCGTAGTATTAAACTAGGGTACAAAACTAACTCATAATGTAGAACTAAATCAGTTATTTAAATATTATACAGTTTTCTTTCAAAAGTAATAATTTTCCTGTGAGTAGAAGTAATAGGTAAACCATTAATAAGAGAATACAACATTTTCGTAGTTCGAATTTGAAGTGTTTTTATAAAATATTTTCTAAAAATATCTCGAGTCAGTTGGACAAGCCTAGGAACTCGTGGATGATTTTCAATTTTTTTAAGAGTGTTGCCCGACAATTTTTTTTCATCAAGCTTTGAAATAAGTTCATAGACTTTCGAATTGGCAAAGTAATCTAGAAGATGATGAATGTGTTTATCCCCGTAACACATAATTTTTTCTGGAAGTTGTTCCACATCAAAATTAACATCTAAGATGAAGCTTAACGGTGAATTTTTCAGTAGGATGTTTTCTCTAAACATGTCTTCTACCACCTCAAAATCATCAGAATCAGAATCAGATAAGTCACTTGGTAAGCTTTCTGGTTGTGCTTCCTCTATGTCCATATTTGAACAGTTCGCAGTAACCATACTCGCTGTACACAACATCAAAAATGTTGGCTTTAACTCTCAAACCATACATTAAGAGATAAATAAAAATTTCTGTTGTGGTGGATTCGTTGTTAGTTTCAACCATACAACGAAAAAAGTATTCACTATCTAAATTTTCAACGAAACGTATAACACTCTGGCTCACTGTCTGATTTTTTTCAATAAGTAAGATTAGTTTCTCTAATGTTGAATTTATGCTGAAAATTTTTTCACACTGATATTCCTCCGGTAACTCCAAGTAACTGCGGAAAGTATGCTTTCCACATCCACAGCAACTGCTAGAGAATCTCAGAAATCTAGTATTATAATGAAAGACACATTTTTCGAAAACCTGGCATATTTCAGGAGCACACTTTTCCAACAGAATTTCCAAATAATCGTTTTTTTAGACCAAGCAAACTAGTCAAAAGTTCACAGAAATTACGTTTCTCGTCTTGTGGCCCATACGTCATGGCCGTACAAAATTCAAACTCGTATTCAAAAGCTTTATGAAACAGAAAAGAGTTTTGTTGTGCCAGTTTCAACAGAACGTTAAATTGCATAACGTGAGGTGAATATTCATCAAATTTATGAAAAAATACCACGTCCTGGATAAAATTTGGCAGCTCAAAATTGACTGTCCGGTCAAATATGTCAGGTAAATCGGTGGCATAACTTAACAGGGTGGTGATATGTTGATCGTCGACATGGCCAGAAGAATTGGAAATGGCGCTTTCTATTATTTTCTCCAAACATGTGCCACTTGTGATTAACTCACAGATATAATAATGAGTGTTATCGTTGTTCTGGTCACAAGCAAATTGTAATGCGGTCTTGCCAGAATTATTTGGGGCTATCAAATCTTCACTACAATAGCTGCAGCAAACGTGTAACAAAAAGTCAAAAATTTCTTTCCTGAAAAAATTTTGCAATTTTCAAATAATCAGGGTTGTCAAACTCACCGATTACTCTTTATGGCTTCTAGTATTAACTTTAGGCCCGATTTGGTGTTTGTTGTATTCCACATATGTATTGTTTCTGCAGATAAACGTTTGAAATCGTCCACTTGATCATTTTCAATAAGAATGACCAACTCATGCATGAGCAAAACCAAATTTGCCGAAGAAGGGTCGTCTCTTGAAGCTTGCATTACTGGAAGTTTAATAAACCTTGTAGCAAGGCTACGCAATTGTGAAATTATTTCGAATACTTCGACACTGTTTTTTATCGCGAATAAAGTGTTTACATCGCCGATAAGATACAATATCTTATACGACGAAGCCACCGATCACTCAGTTAATGTTTCAATGATCTCCAAGACAGATTATGGAGTCATTGACGTTCTGCATACAGAATTTGACAACAATCGGTCTGGTAGTTTAGAAACATTCTGTAAGAATTTCGAATGCTAGTGTGAGTGTGTCACGGTGTCTCGGGTCTTTAAACAAAGTTTATTTGTACTTAAGTTCATTATAGATCTTTAAGCCAACAAGGTAATTGATGCAATAATGGCATCTCTGTAAAGGATCTATAATTGCAAGTTTTTGTAAGTAGTTGCTTTGAATTAATTCATATTTTGTGGAGGTTAACAGTTTACGTTTTAATACATGGCTGGGTGTTATCAATGCAAAAGAAATAACAAGGTATTTTCTTGTGATGCCTGCAAACAGTCGTATTGCAAAGATTGTGCAGAACTTTCTGAAACAGAAATTAGAGCTCTCGAACTAAAAAATCGTACAAGGAGATTCTTTTGCAAAAAATGCGATGATGCTATGGCTCTAATCCCTCAGTTGACTGATTTAATAAAAAGTCTGCAAGATCAAATTAATCAACTTAAAGCAAATTATCAACAACAAACAACAAATATCTGTATTAATGAGTCGGATATTACTGATGAAATACATGATCGTATTAATCGATCAAAAAATGTAATTGTTTATGATGTGGCGGAACGAAATTCAACTGAAGTAAATAAAAGAATTGAGCATGATAATAATTTGGTTAAACAAATTATTAATGAAGATCTAGGAATAAATGCTAATATTAAGAAAGTCATTAGAATAGGTAAGGTCATAAATGGGAATATTTCAAAATGTAGGCCATTAAAAGTCTTTTGGAAGTATTCGGAGGATGCATTAGATATATTAAGGAACAGGAGTAAATGCAAAAACAATATTAAGATTAATAATGATCTCACTCTGATGCAACGTGAAAAACTAAAACGAGTTAAGACTGAACTGATTGAAAGAAAATCGAATGGAGAAATGAACTTGACGTTAAAATATATCAGGGGTGTACCCACAATAACTACAGCAAATAAACCTGAACAAAAAAACTAAAGTCATTTCTTATGCTTGAGAACATAAATATTTATTTTCATAATGTAGGTGGCTTAAGGACCAAAGTAAATACTCTTCAAAAAAATGTTAGTGATAATGAATATGATGTGTTAATACTTATCGAGACTTGGCTTAACAGTAATTTTAGCGATTCACAATTAGATTTATTTAACTATATCATTTTTAGAGCTGATAGAGATAGTGAGTTGGTTGGGAAGTTTAGGGGAGGAGGGGTCCTTATTGCAATACATAAAAGAATTCCATGTTAAAAAATTTTAGCAGTTAGTGAGATTTTTGATACGCTCATTGTATCACTACAAGTAAGCAAATTTGAGTCAGTCATTATTGGTGCAACGTATATACCTCCTGGGGTGGACCTAGAAGTATATGAAAGGTACTGCTCTATCACTAAGCATACACTTGAAAGTTGTTTGGATTCTTTGGTGATTATATGTGGGGATTACAATTTGCCTAATGCTACATGGAATAACATTGACAATACAATGGTGGTCGATAGCAATAATAATCCCAAGGTTCTAAGCACAACAAATTGCTTCTCTTATTTAAATATGTTTCAGATTAATTATTTACCAAATAGTATGAACACTTTTCTTGATTTAGTATTTTCCAATGAAGTTAATTTTACAACTAAGTATGCAGATACAGCTATTGTCTAAGTATGCAGATACAGCTATTGTAAATGAATCTATGTTTCACTTAAGCTACGTAGTCCAAATTACTTGTTATGCCAAATTTCGTAATCTTGAGATAATTTTAACTTTAACAATGCAAATTTTGAAGAAATAAATTATCGGCTTAATCTATTCAATTGGGAAACACTCTTTTTATCTCAAGATTTAGATCAAGCGGTGAACACATTTTACTCTGTAATATACAATATAATTCAAGATATGGTCTCTGTAAAGAAATTCCGATCTTCCCAATACCCTAAGTGGTTTTCTGGAGAATTGAAAAAACTTATTCGACAGAAAAAACAGCTACATACCAAATATAAGGAAACAGGTCACTGTAATGATTATTTTAAATTCTCACAAATCAGAAGACTTTGTAAAGATAAAACACAAGAATGTTATGACGTAGAACTGAACATGACATAAATTCTGATCCCAAACTATTTTGGAAGTATTGCAGAAATAAAAACAATGTCAATAGTTATCCCAATACGATGAAATATAATGAAACGTCGTCTTGCGAACCAAATGAAGTTGTCAATTTATTTGCACATTATTTTCAAACAGTTTACAGAGATCCATCCAAAAGTATTGACCTGAACAAAGTACAGATATCTGCTAAAACTAATTTTAATTTCAGTTTAGTAACTATGGAAGAAGTATTTAATGGAATCTTAGCCTTGAAACCTTCGAGTAGTGCAGGTCCGGATGGGATTCCAACACAATTTTTAATACCGTGTGTGTTTACCCTATGTAAGCCCATTCAATATTTATTCAATTTATCCATTTCCTTTGGTAAATTTCCTGATTTTTGGAAAACAAGTTATTTGATACCAATTTACAAATCTGGTGACAAGGAGCTTATAACAAACTATAGGGGGATTTGCAATCAGTCTGTGTTACCAAAACTTCTAGATCGATTAATTGTTGATCAGTTAAAAGTAGTATGTAAACAGATAATCGTCGATGAACAACATGGATTCTGTCAAGGCAGATCAACTTCAACAAATCTACTTATTTACCAAAACTATATTGTAAGCAGTCTTGAAGGGGGTAATCAAGTTGATTCGGCCTATGAAGATTTTTCAAAAGCGTTTGATAGGGTTGATCATCAAATTTTAATATATAAACTCAATGCAATGAATTTTGATGATAGATTTGTTAAGTGGGTAGAAAGCTTCATTGCAACTCGTTCTCAACTAGTAAAAATCGGCAAATTTCTCTCAAAGGCAGTTATTGTAAAATCCGGAGTTCCTCTGGGGTCACATTGTGGGCCTCTTTTATTTAATCTCTTTATAAATGATATAGGCAATCCGGTAAAATATTCGAGAATACTTATATTTGCAGATGACTTGAAAATATTTAGGAGTATATCTTCGGTAATGGAGTGTTCGCTTCTCCAGAGTGATCTCCTAAAGGTTGAAAATTGGTGCAAATGGAACGATATGGAAACAAATTTTGACAAGTGTTATAAAATCTCTTTTTATAGGACTAAACATAGCATTGTTTTTTCATATAAAATCAATCAGATACCGGTAAAGGTGATTTCGGAAATTCGTGATTTGGGTATTATAATGGACTCCAAACTGTGTTTTGTTCCACATATACAGTACATTGTTAGTAAGGCTTACAGAATGCTTGGATTGATTAATAGATCATTGAAATTATTCTCCGTCAATTCGTATAAATTAGTATATTGCTCCATTGTAAGGTCTCATTTAGGATATGCAAGTGTGGTATGGTCGCCTATGTATATGACCCATATCAAAAATTTGGAAAAGGTTCAAAATTCGTTTCTACGCACTTGTGCATGGAAATTAGGGTACACAAGAGAAGAATATACTTACCAAAATATAAGGGACATACTAAATTTAAGCACTCTTGAAAGCAAAAGATTACATACTGACCTTATTTATGTTTTTAGATTATTTAATGGTTATATCAGCTGTTCAGAACTGTTAGCACTTTTTAGTTTAAACTGCCCCACAAGACAGATGAGAAGCAATCCAACTTTTCACACGAAGCTGCATCCTACGAATTATGGATTTTTTTCTCCAATAGCTAGATTAACTTGGGAAGTTAATGCACATGGTGTGGAAATTTTTGGTCCGTCCTTAAGACAATTTAAAACTAGCATTGAGAATTTAGTTATTTAATGTATGTAATAATGTAATTTGAATTTAATTTTAAGTTGATTTAATCTGATTCACCTACATCAGCACTAATTATTGTAATGTGTACTAAAGGGGTCTCTCGTGAATAAATTTATTTATTTAAGATTATGAGTCTGGTTAAAATCAGTACAGATGCGGACAAACGACAGAGAGACAGACGGAAACGAGAGACCTATGTTTTCGTCTTCTAGGGGTCATAGAACATCAAAATAGCCAGTCTACACGGTTTCTAGTTAAAGTTTGCGGTTTTGTCATTGCCCGAATAGATGTTGAAATCGAAACTTCATGAAAAGAGTTGCTTCCGCGTGAAAGGCGTAGCTCGTTCCCACAGCTGGGCTGTTTTTCGAAGATCGAGTAGAGAGTACAATATGCGGCAGGTTTTTTGGTGTATCGAGAAAAAGATGTGCATCAATGATATCGAAGTCAAAATACCAAAGGGGGATATGTGTGTTACGTTAAATATAAATGTTAATGTTAATGTAAATAAGTAATTATTCTTCTACTTTTGTAACAGTAGAATAAACTAACTTTATCCCACTAGGGAATAAAGTGTTAGTTAAAACAGTTCATAATTTAGGACTAAAATCCAATTATAAGTTGATTCTGGATAAAATTAAAATATATGAAATTGCCGGTACATCTATAATAGATGACTACTAAAAGGTTTCAAGTGACTACAAAGTTCACGAAAATTTATTTAATCTAAACCTACGGTGTTACAAATTTTCAGCATACTGGAAGCCTCAGGTTACCTTAATAATGTCTTGCGACAAAGAATAACTAAATATGGAATTACAAAATCTAAAATTTGATGTAATACTTATTACATTTATCTAAGTATCATAGAGTTTTGTTTCAAAAGTAATAATTTTCTTATGAGTAGAAGCAATAGATAGGCCATTAATAAGAGAATACAACATTTTGGTATTTCGAATTTGGAATCTTTCTATAAAATATTTTCTAAAAATATTTCGACTCAATTCGACAAGCAAAGGTACTCGTGGATGTTTTTCTACTTTTTTGCGAGTGTTGTCGTCCCGCAATCTTGTTTCATTTTCAAGTTTTGAAACAAGTTCATAGACTTTTGGATGGGCAAAGTAATCTAGAAGATATTGGATGTGTCGATCACTGTAAAACTTCCATTTCTCTGGGAGTTGTTCCACATCAAAATTGACATCTAAGATGAAGTTTAAGGGTGAATACTCGGGTGACGCATCCTCTATGTCCATATGTAGACACACTCTGAAGAGTTCGCAATAACCATACCTTCTATACACAACATCAGAAAGGTTGTCTTGAACTCTCAAGCCATACATTAAAAGATAATTAAAAATTTCTGTTGTGGTCGACTCGTTGTTTCTTTCAGTGACAGAAGTAAGAAAGTATGTGCTCCTTAATATATCAATGAAACGGATAACACACTGACTCACCGTCTCACTTTTTTCCAAAAGTAATTCCAGTTTGTCTATTGTTAGATATTTGCTGAACATTTTTTCACACTGATATGTCACCGATAAGTCGGTGTAATTGTAGTTAACAGATAATCCACATCCACAGCGAGTGCTTCTCCTTTTCGGAAAAGCAGTTTTAGAATGAAGGGCACATTTTTCGAAAATCTGACATATTTCAGGAGCACACTTTTCCAACAGAATTTCCAAATAATCGTTCTTTAGACTGATCAAACTAATCAAAAGATCACCGAAATTACGTTTCTCGTCTAGTGGTTTATCCGTCACGGCAAAACAAAACTTAAACTCGTACTCAAAAGCTTTGTGGAACAGAAAAGGGTTTTGTTCTGCCAGTTTTAACAGAGTGTTAAATTGCATGACGTGAGATGAATATTCATCAAATTTATGGAAAAATACCATGTCCTGAATAAAATTTGGTAGTTCAAAATTGACTACTACCCGGTCAAATATGTCAGGTAGATCAGTGGCGTAAGTTAACAAGGTGGTGATATGTTCCTCATCAAGAGAGTCAGAAGAATTGGAAAGGGCGTTTTTTATTGCTTTCTCCAAATAACTGCTAGTTCCGATTAACTCACAGATGTAGTAATGAGTGTTGTTGTTCTTCTGATCCCAAGCAACTTCTATTGCTGTCTTACCAGATTCATTTGCGACCATAAAGTCTTCCGTACACCAGCTGTAGCAATCGTGTAGCAAGTGGTCAAAAATTTCTTTCCTGACAATCCAACTCGAAAATTCTTAACCAATAAAATGGCAGAATTGTTTGAAATTTGTCCAATGGCATTCACCGAAAAATTTTTTCAGTGAAAAAACATTCTTCTGTCAGGCAACAACACTGTTTTTCAGCGAAAAAAAAAATGTCAAATTAATTTGTCAAACTTGTCAAATGAACTTTAATAAAAAAATGATAATGTAACATACAACTACTTTTCTATTGGCGTTAAAGGCATAATTTTCCAAAATACTGGCCACCTCGTTCATTTCGACTGCTTTATTCAGAGGAAACTTGCGTATTTCACAAAATTCTGTAAACTGGTTCTAAATTGAATCTTGCGTTCTTGCGGTCTTTCGGCACTGACTTTCTTTCACTGCATTTCGAATTTCATACACAGTCTTGTTACCAAATCTTGCTCCCAGAATTAAGAAAATCAACCAGCACCACACACAAAATTTGATGTTTAGAAATTTATTTACGTTTTGCCTTGTTGTTTTGTTACTATTTAGACTAAGTAGGTATGGTTACTCAACGACTACGCTAACTATAAATTATGTGAATTATTGTCCGTAAAAAGTAAATAAAAATTTTCTCTTTGGATTGTCAAGCCGAATATAACTCGTGATCTGATTTTTTCTGCAAAATTTGTGTGAAAATTAACTCGTAGCTGTTGCTTTTGGAAAATCACACTCGTCTCCTTCGTCGACTCGTGTGATTTTCGTCGCAACAGCTACTCGTTAATTTGTGTCACAAATTTTGTCGGAAAAAATCAGACCACTTGTTATATTATATTTGAAAAAACGTTTCAGTTTCAAAATAATCATTGAGAATTGTTGAAATTACCGATTACCCTTTATGGCTTCTAGTATTAACTTCAGGCCAGATTTGGTTCTTCTAATATCAAACATTGATGCTTCGGATAAACGTTTTTTGAAATCGTCTACTTTATTCTTTTCAATAAGAATAAGTAAATCATGCATGATCGGAATTAATCTTGCTAAGTAAGGGTCATTCTCTAAAGCTTGCATTATTGGAATTTTAATAAACCTAGTGGTAAGACGACGCAAATTCGAAGTCATTCGCAACACAACTATTTCTTTTGCAATTTTTAATCTAAAATACGTGTTAATCGCCGATAAAATTACGCGTAAAGATAAGGTAAGATACCCCCTCCCCCATCATCGTATCAACTTGATCAATATCTGTGTCTATCTGTAACATTTGATTTTCCTTTTTGAAAGCTGTAGGTGTGGACGATTTTTGGAGCTGGGAAAGCGTTATGGGTGTAAGATTTGTTTTCCCAGTGGAAGTGCTGGTTACGAATCCTACAGCGTTGCAAATATTTTTTTCTCATCAAAACAAAAAAGGCACAATAGATACTATTATTATTTCTCATACTGTACTTATCTGTCTGATTTACATCAATCGCTGCAATGGATGTCATAGACAAAACTAAAGTACTCGTATGATACACCAATGAATGCAGAAAAAAAATCTCTAGAAGAATCTCCAAAATAAATTCATATCCATTCATTTGTTTATCCGTTACTTCGTACGTCGCGGTGAAACAGTATATGTAAAGAAACTCATAGACAAAACGATCGTTTGGAAGTAAGACATGCGGAGGGCGGCTGCAGGGAATCACTCGACCAGATGGAGAGAGGACAGCGACAATTGTAAAACAAATACGAAAAAAATTTTGCTTGCAGGGCTTATGCTTTTCTATGTTTGTCACCTGTATCATTGTCATTATCATTTCCGACCATGGATATTACACATACCATACATATGAATGACTTCCTGAGCCTAAACTAAAGAAGTATGGTAATCAAGTCCATCGGGCGACTTGCCACTTTCATGTTTCCTCGACGTTTGAAGATCCCTAGAATACGAGAAAAGTCGTCCCAATTGTTATCAAATTTTATATGTGTATTAGGAATAGCGTGTATATGGTAAAACGCTAACGAAATGTTGGCTGATCATCCCCTTCGCCAATGGAATGACGTCATTCCAAAATTTGCAATTGTATTTTTTTTTTTAATTTCATAAAATACGAAACTTCTGCACACTGTGCTGCATTTTTACATTAGAAATCCAGAGTTTTGGCGAAAAAAAAATTGTATAATATTTTGCATTTTAAATTTGAAATTGCAAAACCGAATGCTCTGAAATCTTGCAACCGTTTTAAGCTTATCATAGTCCTGATAAATCGATAATCAAAATTGATTCGTTTATCCCATTCCAAAAAATTGATGACTCAGCCCAAATTTTTCCGAATAAATTCTATTTCAAATCTGCAAACTATTATGACTCTATTCTTGTGGTTTACCAATGGATGCAGAGGTATTAGAATTACTTAAACAGGAGCACTCAAAAAAATGAATGAGTGACGCAATTTATTAAATTGATTGAGTTAAGAACCACTCACTCCATTTTCCCGAAAATTTGGCAAAACAGTACTGCTGTTATTAGTATTACACTCCATATATGATGACGTTATCCGTTATCACAAAATTTTGTATTGGAAAAACTCACTTGAAACAAACGTATAGCACGTTCCTTTATGTTTACTTTAATATTACACACATATCTTTATTTCAACTTATAAGGGTTTCCATAAAAAAATTAATTTGCACAATCAAATGATTTTCGAAAAAGTGGACTTGTACTCAAGGGCGAGGGAAGTTCTGTCGAGATAACTTTTGATCAATTTTTTAATTTAGAGATACTTTTATAAGCATGAGGTTCACCACTTTGCATTTAAACGTATTCCGCTACAAAATAAAATCACATGTAGGATTCTATTTAGGCCACGAACACAGTTCAAGACAAAATTTTGAATCTTCCCCAGGTTTTTTCACATGTCAAATTTTGGCGAAATATTTGGGAGTTTGGGTTATCGCAAATGGATTTAAACAGAACCTTAAAATCACACGTTTAATTTTATTACCATTTTTCCTTTTCTATTAGTCTATTCTCTGTTTAGAAGAAAAAATGAACATTTTTAAGAAAGAGCAATTTATTGAATCAACTAATACCATTTGACAACTGTTGAAAATCAAAGCATTATATAGATCAATTTTTTCAAGTCATTAAAGCCAACAGTCACTTGTCCATCTATGTAGATCTTAAATTTCATTAGTAACTAAAGAGTATGAAAAATAAATATATTTTCGGAGCATATGGTTGTAGACACTAAATTGAAAAACAATGCGTTGCATTTAAATTGACTTATTATTGAACTTTTAGAGAGTTCAACAGTTGTTTTGAAAATTTAAATTACGCCACCAATTTTTTTAATGCCAGCACTTATTCTTTTGCGCATGTTTAAAAATTGGTCTAAGATTATTTAGGCAAGGTGTAAGAAAAAAGTGGCTCATAAGAAAATTGAACCCGCGACCATCGCGTTATTAACACGACGCTTCCTCAACTTACTCCTTACCTTACTCGGTCATTGTTCTGCTTTCCTGTTATACTATTATTAGAATGTGGTTATACAATTTGCATTGTTATTACGAAAATCAGGGGGGATTCATAAACTACAAGTACAGAAGTATATTATTTTATAAAATTGACATCATGAAATTGTTGGTGGGGATGGCTGTTGTGGAATATTGTGAAAATTTGACACTCTCATATTCTAACTTTCTTGGGCGTTCAAAAATGACTCAAACATTATTGATCATGCTATATTTTTCATGACAAAAAATTAGTTAATTAGTTAATTTTTTTCATGTAGATGGTCGGATGATTTACCAACTATTTATCATTTTAATAACTTTTGATGAGTTCTGAATTTTGAAGGGGGGATACGCTACCCTCCCATACCCACCCAACGACGCCTCTGATCGTAGTCACCGACATTGATTAAGTGCCTACATACAACTATGTGCTTAATATACTCAGGGGCACTTTTCTAACTACTTTACATTTGAACGCATTATGCCATAAAAAGAAAACACAACGCAGCGTTCCATTTTGTCCGCGATTACCTACACAGCATGCCAAATTTTGCATTTTTCGCATGTTTTAAAAACTTTGCTGACAAGTCTAATTTTAGTGGGTTATCCCGCCATTAAAAGGATTTAAACAAAATCTTAAAGTGTGACGAACGGCGAAATGGGCCGAAACTGTATCATTAGAATGTAAATATATAGATTAGTACTCTCAACATTCACATGTTTACCAAAATTTTAAATTTCAAATCGATGGTTACAGGAAGAATTTGAAAAGTAAATAAGCTTGTGAAGCAAACTATTGTGGATACTAAACTGAAAAACACAGACACTTTTTTATACAGTCTAAAATTAGTTTCGAGAATTTTTGATAGGTCCTAAATTTACTTTATGTCACAAGTACAGCAATATATTATTTTATAAAATTTAAATAGCATTTACCATGAATTTTTGAAGTGACGTTATCAAACTGTTGGTGATGATCAGACAAATTTGGGTTAGCGTTTTATTGTCCATATGGCATTTCTAAAATACCTAAAACGCATTGTTTAAAAACTAAGCTAGGATAAAAAAGTAACTCATGATGTAGTACTTATTATTTTATTTAAGATTGATAGATTTTTTTTTTCAAAAGTAATCATTTTCTTATGGGTAGAAGTAATAGGTAGACCATTAATAAGAGAATACAACATTTTCGTAGTTCGAATTTGGAATGTTTCAATAAGATATTTTCTAAAAATATTTCGACTCAATTCGACGAGCAAAGGCACTCGTGGATGATATTCTACTTTTTTAAGAGTGTTGTCCCACAGTCTTTTATCTTTTTCAAGTTTTGAAATAAGTTCATAGACTTTTGGATGAGCAAAGTAATCAAGAAGATGCTGAACGTGTTTATCACTGTAAGATTTAAATTTTTCTGGGAGTTGTTCCACATCAAAATTAACATCTAAGATGAAGTTTAACGGTGAATTTTTCAGCTGAATATTTTTGGTAAACATATTCTCTACCAGATTAAAATCGTCGTCGTAAAATAAGTCTCTTTGTGAGTTTTTCGGTGGTTCTTCCTCTATGTCCATATGCAGACACAGTTTGAAGAGGTCGCAATAACCATAATTTCTGTACACAACGTTAAAAAGGTTGGCTTTAACTCTCAAACCATACATTAAGAGATAGGTAAAAATTTCTGTTGCGGTGGATTCGTTGTTACTTTCAGCCACACAACGAAAAAAGTATTCGCTGTCTAATATATCAATGAAACGAATAACACACTGACTCACCGTCTCATTTTTTTCTAAAAATAATACTAGTCTGTCTAATGTTGAACATTTGCTGAACATTTTTTCACATTGATATTCCACTGGTAACTCAAAGTACTCGTAGTCAGTAGATAATCCACATCCACACCAACTGCTATCGCTTTTCAGAAAAGCAGTTTTATAATGAAGGGCACATTTTTCGAAAATCTGACATATTTCAGGAGCACACCTTTCCAACAGAATTTCCAGATAATCGTGTTTTAGGCCGAGCAAACTAATCAAAAGATCACCGAAATAACGTTTCTCGTGTTGTGGTGCATCCGTCACGGCCATACAAAACTTAAACTCGTACTCAAAAGCTTTATGGAACAGAAAAGAATTTTGTTCTGCCAGTTTTAACAGAACGTTAAATTGCATAAGGTGAGATGAATATTCATCAAATTTATGGAAAAATACCACATCCTGAATAAAATTTGGCAGTTCGAAATTGACTACTGCCTGTCAAATATGTCAGGTAGGTCGGTGGCATAAGTTAACAGGCTGGTGATATGTTCCTCATCGATATAGTCAGAAGAATTGGAAACGGTGTTTTTTATTACTTTCTCCAAATAACTGCTACTTTTCAATAACTCACAGAGGTAGTATTGAGTGTTGTTGTTCTTCTGATCCCAAGCAACTTCTATTGCTGTCTTACCAAATTCGTTTGCGACTATAAAATCTTCGCTACAACAACTGTAGCAATCGTGTAACAAATGGTCAAAAATTTCTTTCCTGAAAAAACTTTGCAGTTTTCAAATAATAATCAAGCGTTGTAAAATTTACCTATTCCATTTTATGGCTTCTAGTATTAACTTTAGGCCAGATTTGGTTCTTCTTATATCCCACATTGATGCTTCGGATAAACGTTTTTTGAAATGGTTCACTTTATTCTTTTCAATAAGGATAAGTAAATCATACATGAGTGGAATTAATTTTGCCGAATAAGGGTCGTTTTCTAAAGCTTGCATTATTGGAATTTTAAGTGGTAAGACGACGCAAGTGAGAAATCATTCTCAACACAACTGTTTCCATAATGAAGGCGATGTGCACACAACGTAGTGCTCTATTTTTAATCTATAATACGGAGAAGGAGATCTTCCTAAGTGTGTAAATCGCCGATAAGATACGCGTAAAGTACAGTATTTTATTCACAACCAATTATGAGGCATCGTATTCGGATTATTTTTTTAAATGACTTGATCGATCACTCATGGAATGTTTCGATAATTCTCCAAGACGGATCATGGCGTGATTGATATGCCGCTTTCGTGTTTATTGTTTATCAAATCATGTAAAATTTGTGGAAAAGTCATTCACGTCTAAAGAATGATTGGAGTCTAAATCACCCAAGGCGGAACAACTGCTTCTATTAGCATTTGTTTTATATGTAAGAAAATTTATCCAATCGATACGATAGGGTTCCACACTAAGGGTATCTACATATGCAGATATTTCGATGTGTGCTTGTTTAAAGCTTGAACGTAGAATACAGTTATATGAACCAAAAGCAAAGCTTTGTAAAATCTTAAATTATTTAACAATGTAGTCAACCAACTATACTTCCAATCAATACGACGAACAATGATGTTAAATTTAACCAGTGTCATACTTTACATAATAATCATTTAAGAAATGAAACCTGAGTTGTAAATCAAACCAACTCTATGAATCACGTGACGAATATCTCCTTTTATGTTGTTATATTATATCATGATTATGAAATTATGATCGGTATCTATATATAATATTGCACAATATTACCACAATACTGTACAATTCAGTGTATAAAACGTTCAACGGTGTACGTTTTTTAAAGTAGTGTATTCGCATCTTTCAGTGCTGTTACACGACCAAGTGTTATTGCTTTAACAATGTCCGGTGAACCTGTGGTTGAACAAAGTGGTGAATTAGCACAAGAAACAGAACCAGAAGTTGTTGCGACTCGTAATTATACGAGCACCGCAGAGAAAGATGGCTGGTGGTACATAGCGCGGTATTCAAAAGAACATAAATATTATTATGGAAATACTGGTGACCGTTCGGGTCAAGCGTTTCGAACTCGGAGGGCACAATGCGGTTTTATTTGGGAAAATAAATGGACACAAGCTTTAAGAACAAGCATTGGTAATAGCGACGATGTTGGCGCATTTCTTAACTTGACGAATTCCTATCTGCTCGTTTGTGATGGAGAGGAATCAAACAACTTTTGCAAGTAATTTCATAATTTGTAGTAAACGTTGGTTAATATTATTAATCTTGTAAATATTTCTTAGAGTCGCGCAGGATGATTTGCCTGACATTCCTGTGGTGAAGACCTCACTGGCAGGCTGCAGAGTTATAGGGCGTATGTGTGTTGGGAATAAAAATGGACTGATCGTACCTGAAACAACCTCAGACATAGAGGTGCAACATTTAAAACGTGAATTGCCCGATTCTGTTGAAGTTAGAACACTGGAAGACAGACTGTCTGCTTTAGGAAACGTGATCGTGTGTAATGATCACGTTGCTTTGGTCCACCCAGATTTAGATAAAGTGGGTAAAAATTCTGGTCAAACAACAGTCGTAACTTGGGTATTTACAGGAAAGTGAAGAAATTGTTGCAGACACATTAAAAGTTGAAGTTTTTCGCCACTTGATAGCCAATAATTCCTTAGTAGGTTCATATTGTGTCATGAACAACAATGGAGGCCTAGTTCATATAGATGCAAGTAAAACTGAATTGGAGGATTTATCGTCGCTTCTGCAGTTACAGTTAATTGTAAGAAATATGAACCAGTTTTGAACTGTTAAAAAATTGTGTTATTTCTAGGCTGGGACAGTTAATGGTGGGAATAAAACTGTGGCATCAGGATTAGTCGCAAATGATTGCATTGCGTATGCAGGAATGAAAACAACAGGGAAAGAATTTGCGTCTATTGAAACAGCGTTACAGTTGAAAATTCATTAATGTATTTAAATCGTTATGTGATAATTTATTGTATGTTTTTTCTCATGCATTGATGACTGTGATAATAATTATACGTATTTTTAGAAGCTTGTGTTTACTTGGAAATTTCAAAAAATTGTTTGACGAATAACTAGAGCACAACTTCTTGTACCCCTATACAAAGTTTCAGTTGATTTGTACAATTGGTTCTCAAAATATTCGTTTCCATACATTCTAACGACCCTGTATAGATATTTCGAACTGAGGACTTGTTTAAACCGTGACTGTAGTATATGTATATGAACCAAAGACAAAGCTTTGTAAATATGTTGTAAAATCTTAAATTATTTAACAATGCAGTCAGCGAACTGTAGTTTCAATTAATATGACGAACAGTGATATTAGATGTTGTAAGATGTGTGGAAATGACTAACACCAGGTAGGGTTTCTCTATAGTTTATTTACAAATTCGGATATCTTACACGTGGAACAGGAGACGGTGCCCATCTTCTTCGTTTCGATGTCGGCGGCAGAAGAGAGTACTTGCCGTACTCGCGCCTCCTTGTGTCCCCAGTTGGTCTCTGCGTCGGCGCCAGGCTAACCAATCACGAGTGGTGTTCGGTGAGCATATTGAGTTGCCTACTCGTAGGCGAGAGGAAGTAGTACGTGTGCGTTGTGTTGCCTACATTAACATCACAGCAACGCCACAGATGTAAGCTTTAAAGTTCGTATGTACCATTTTCTTTGTAATTTTATAAAAAGAAAATATTTAAACAATGATTAATAGTATCAAACGCCACAGTCGTCTTCAACCAGTATAAATTAGTGACACATCGGTTTACACCTGAAATGTGTAAAACTTCGACTATTCCATAAACAGTGGATTTTTTTTTGTTTTCATTGTATGTAAATTCACTGTTCATATTAAGATTTTTAACATTTCATGATTTCAGCACAATTTAACTGCAATCATGGGAAATGGCCCTTTTAATGGTTATTTTAAATTAACCATGTATCTAAAAGTTCTACATGTTCTCACTTAAGTTATTACATTATCCACATTTCAGAAGGTTGTCACTTAGGATTTATAACAGTTCATTTATGGTATTTAAACTAATCTTAAATGTTGCTCTATTTTAAGAGTAACGACCTTGAAAATTTTCATCAGTAAAATGAATAATACCGTTGAATGGGGAGTGTGGGGTTTCATTTGTGCTTGTTTTACTGTAATGTGGTCCTCGTACACGATATTGAATTTTCAGTTACCGTTAACATAAATGTTCAACACGTGTAGAAGTATGTTATTTACTTTTGGTGGGGATGATTAGACAAAGTCTGATTAGCGGTTTACCATCTACACGATATTCCTAATACATCTACATTGAAAATTTAACAGCAATCGGTCCAGTGGTTTCGGAGATTGTCTCGGGGCTACCTACTTTTTCGTACTTCAGGGGTTATGAAACGTCGACAAAATCTAAAAGTAGCGATTCGTTGGATGGACCCTACTACAAAAGTGAAAATATTAACACTCACATAATACGAAAAAGGTGGAACGCTCGAAATTATTGAAGTAATCATTTAAAAAATGAAACCTAAGTTGCAAATCAAACCAACTCTATGAATCACTCCACGACCGTCTCATATTATGTTCTTGTATCATAATTATGAAATTATAATCTATTGATCGGTATCTATAGTATTGCACAATATTATCGCAATACTGTACAATTCAGTGTATAAAACGTGCAGCGGTGTAGGTTTATTAAAGTAGTGTATTCGTATCTTTCAGTGCTGTTACACGACCAAGTGTTATTGCTTTAACAATGTCCGTTGAACCTGTGGTTGAACAAAGTGGTGAATTAGAACAACAAACAGAACCAGAAGTAGTTGCGACTCGTAATTATACGAGCATCGCAGAGAAAGATGCCTGGTGGTACATAGCTCGATTTTCAAAAGATTATAAATATTGTTACGGAAATACCCAGGATTTGTCGGCCCAAGCATTTCGTACCCGAAGAGCACAAAGCGGATATGTGTGGGAAAAGAAGTGGACACAAGCTTTAAGAACAAGCATTGGTAATAGCGACGATGTTGGCGCATTTCTTAACTTGACGAATGCCTATCTGCTCGTTTGTGATGGGGAGGAATCAAACAACTTTTGCAAGTAATTTCATAATTTTTAGTAAACGTTGGTTAATACATGACCGTTTTCCGGGTTGGAACCGTGTTAATTGAGTTTTTGGGCTCTCAATTAACACGGTTCCAACCCGGAAAGCGATCATGTATTGATTCCGACCGTAGAAGCCTCCGAAATTAACATTGGCTAATATATTATTAATCTTGTAAATATTTCTTAGAGTCGCGCAGGATGATTTGCCTGACATTCCTGTGGTGAAGACCTCACTGGCAGGCTGCAGAGTTATAGGGCGTATGTGTGTTGGGAATAAAAATGGACTGATCGTACCTGAAACAACCTCCGACGTAGAGCTGCAACATTTAAAACGTGAATTGCCCGATTCTATTGAAGTTAGGACACTGGAAGACAGACTGTCTGCTTTAGGAAACGTGATCGTGTGTAATGATCACGTTGCTTTGGTCCATCCAGATTTAGATAAAGTGGGTACCTATAAATTTTGTTCAAACAACATTTGTAACATATATTTACAGGAAAGTGAAGAAATTGTTGCAGACACATTAAAAGTTGAAGTTTTTCGGCACGTGATAGCCAGTAATTCCTTAGTAGGTTCATATTGTGTCATGAACAACAATGGAGGCCTAGTTCACATAGATGCTAGTAAAACTGAATTGGAGGATTTATCATCACTTCTGCAGTTGCAGTTAGTTGTAAGAAATATGAACTAGTTTTGAACTGTTAAAAATTGTGTTATTTCTAGGCTGGGACAGTTAATGGTGGGAATAAAACTGTGGCATCGGGATTAGTCGTAAACGATTGCATTGCGTATGCAGGAATGAAAACAACAAGTAAAGAATTTGCGTCTATTGAAGCAGCGTTACAATTGAAAATTCATTAATGTATTTAAACCGTTATGTGATAATTTATTGTATGTTTTTTCTTATGCATTGACGACTGTGATAATTATACGTATTTTTAGAAGCTTGTGTTTACTTGGAAATTTAAAAAAATTGTTTGACGAATAACTAGAGCACAACTTCTTGTACCCCTATACAAAATTTCAGTTGATTTGTACAATTGGTTTTCAAAATATTCGTTTCCATACATTCTAGCGACTCTGTATAGATATTTCGAACTGAGGGCTTGTTTAATATATGATTATATGAACCAAAGGCAAAGCTTTGTAAAATCTTAAATTATTTAACAATGTAATCAGCCAACAATAGTTTCAGTAATATGACGAACAGTGATATTAGATGTTGTAAGCTTTAAAGTTCGTACTGTGGTGACCGAATTTAAATCAAAGTTTTCGCGCTGAAATTAATTAACAGCGGCGCGAAATCACACTTGAATAATTTGAATTTGAAAGAAAAAAAATCAATCACAAAAAGGAAGTCGTTAAACATAGGCAACCAAATATGCACATCGGGTTTAATGCATGTAGTGCCCCAGGAACCAAGTTTGTTCTGCAGGGTTTAGTTATAGCGCTAGGGAGTTTTTAGTTACAGGGTTGGTTGATGGGTAGAGAGAGAAACTGCATGGCGTAGATTCAGTCTGAATATGCTTGTGTGAGTTGTAACCACGTGGTAACCGCTAGGTTTAAATTAGTTGGTTTGGTAGTTATTAAAACGGGAGGAAGCCTTCGTTTAACGACAATCAATAGTAACTTTCATAATGACAGTTGTCCCCAACCTGCGCGCTCAATGCTTGCGGCCTTTTAATCGGAGAAATGCGGACTTCCGGTCGACACGAGACAGGTGCTGTAAATTTGTTTCATTGTTTGTAAATTCACCAATCAAGTTAGTTTTTCTTAATAGTCAACTAGTGCAAACATAGTTTAACAATCAGGATTATTTAAATGAACCACTTGCTAGAAGATTTCATGAAATTCACTTAGTCAGGAAACACCTTATTGTTTAATTACGAATAAGCTCCTGGATGCATATACGTAAGTGTTACATTATAACACTTCTTAATTCTTCACACAAGATTGCTAATAATTCATTTACGGCAGTTAAACAAGTTCATTATACTGCGAACTGGCGGGGGTTATGATATTTTCTTCCCTTAGGTGGTTATCATCGTTATCATGATTAATTCATCGGGGCATGCCACACAACGCCACATATTGATTAATTCATCGAGGCATGCCATCACAACGCGCCAGATTGATTAATTAATCGAGGTATGCCCTCACAACGCTACAGATTGATAGAGGTCCGTCCTCGCGACGTTAGAGATTAATAATATCACCAAGACGCTTTTTCCTCGCAACGATTTTAAAATTTACATCACCGAGACGCTTTTTCCTCGCAACGATTTTATAACTTACATCACCTAGACGCTTATTCCCTCGGAGCGATGATTGGATATTTTTGTGTTTGTTTATTGTGTGTTTTGTTGGGATAACCAGTTCGCGGTATTTTAAACTCTCAAAGTAAATTGTTTTTTTTTTGAAGTAACCAATCACTTAGATCATGATATAGTTTGACAAAACGTAAACTCTTTGTTTGAATCGTTGATAAAGTGTGGCAATTATTAATCTCCTGTAAATTTTGTTAACTCTGCAAATTTCCACCTCATACAATATTTCTTTAATGTCACAACCTCAGTCATTTTATTTGTTGTACCTATCATTTTAATTGAACGTAAATTTCATGTTCTACAGTTTTATCCTCACATAATATTTTTATTTGTACAAGTTTATTACACACCAGATCTTCTGTTTGATAAATCTTTGCTGAATTCTGTTTTGTAAATACTTTGCTGATGAATGTTCATATAGATTATTTGATGTCCAACTTTAATCTCACATAAGAATTATTTGTTGTTTAAAATTTCACAAGGTTGTATGGCGAATCTAAATGTTGTTTATTGCTCTTTGAAACTTTAACACTTGTTTAGTTGTTGTTAATATCAGAGTTATAAGAGATTGAATATTTGAAAATGGAATTGAGGTTAAATGACACAAAAAACGTGGCAGAAGCGAAGTTCGGTTCCTAGTCGAGCTGGCGAGATTTATCGTGTCACCTGTACAAGCCCACAGGTTTGGATAGATTCAGGGGCGGCCGCCGGTTTGTAGTGGTCTCGACTTGAACCAATAGTCGAGATCCACTTGCGGGTCTTGTGACCGTAATGGCCGTAATGGCAGGGCACGTTCGCAATGGAGATATGCGTGTGGGGTAGGCTTTGCGATAGATAGAATCACCGTCGTGGGGGGAGAACAGGTCCAGACCGGTAGCCCAAAACTCCGCTTGTGTTACGACACCCCAGGGGTACTTTTGTTGTGCTCTTAAAAATCTACCGCCACACGCCCGTAATAACTTGTGTATTTGCATCCAGTTACTTAAGTCGGATTTTGCTTTGTTTTATTAAATTTGTGATATTCAAATATTTGCATTGATTCCAAACAGATGTATAGAATTTTGCGTTTGTTCGTTTTTCATATGTGTATGTCTGTCAATTCGCGAGTGTTTTCTTTCATGTATCTTAAGGTGTTTGAAATGTAATATTTCGGTGAATAAAACCCCAGGAGGTTTTTGGGAATGAAGACCGATGACGCCGTGGCCCTGCGGATTCACCAGAAGGGCACGCTGAGTCACTGTCGCTCTTCGTTTCTTTTCCTCCTAAGGAAGGATTTCGACCTCCCTAATTTTGTCTATTATTTCTTGCACTCTCAACTCAGATGCAGTATATGCTCACTTGTATGAAAGAACGTCTTCCCGCCATTTATCAAAAACAAAAAAAAAAAACACACACAACGTAGGTTCCTATTTGTTAGACGATCACAGCTTCACAGCCAAGGCCAAACTTTGAATTTTTGAAATTTTCGCGAGCCTTTCAAACTTTTTCAAGGTCAATTTAAAAGGCGGGAGGTTTGGGTTATCACAGTATGTACAATTTTCTTTGTAATTTTATAAAAATAAACTATTTAAACAACGATTAATATCATCCAACGCCACAGTCCTCATCAACCAGTATAAATCAGTGACATATCGGTTTACACCTGAAATGTATAAAACTTCGACTATTCCATAAACACTACATATGTAGATATTTCGATGTGTGCTTGTATAAAGCTTGAACGTAGAATGTAGTTATATGTATGAACCAAAGGTAAAGCTTTGTAAAATCTTAAATTTATTTAACAATGTAGTCAACCAACTATACTTCCAATCAATACGGCGTACAATGATGTTAAATTTAACCAGTGTCATACTTTACATAATAATCATTTAAGAAATGAAACCTGAGTTGTAAATCAAACCAACTCTATGAATCACTTGACGAGTATCTCATTTTATGTTGTTATATTATATCATAATTATGAAATTATGATCGGTATCTATAATATTGCACAATATTACCACAATACTGTACAATTCAGTGTATAAAACGTGCAACGATGTACGTTTTTTAAAGTAGTGTATTCGCATCTTTCAGTCCTGTTACACGACCAAGTGTTATTGCTTTAACAATGTCCGGTGAACCTGTGCTTGAACAAAGTGGTGAATTAGCACAAGAAACAGAACCAGAAGTTGTTGCGACTCGTAATTATACGAGCATCGCAGAGAAAGATGTATGGTGGTACATAGCGCGGTATTCAAAAGAACATAAATATTTTTATGGAAATACTGGTTACCGATCGGCTCAAGCGTTTCGAACTCGGAGGGCACAACGTGGTATTATTTGGGAAAATAAATGGACACAAGCTTTAAGAACAAGCATTGGTAATAGCGACGATGTTGGCGCATTTCTTAACTTGACGAATTCGTACCTGCTTGTTTGTGATGGGGAGGAATCAAACAACTTTTGCAAGTAATTTCATAATTTTTAGTAAACGTTGGTTAATACATGACCGTTTTCCGGGTTGGAACCGTGTTAATTGAGTTTTTGGGCTCTCAATTAACACGGTTCCAACCCGGAAAGCGATCATGTATTGATTCCGACCGTGCAAGCCTCCGAAATTAACATTGGCTAATATATTATTAATCTTGTAAATATTTCTTAGAGTCGCGCAGGATGATTTGCCTGACATTCCTGTGGTGAAAACTTCACTGGCAGGCTGCAGAGTAATAGGGCGTATGTGTGTAGGGAATAAAAATGGACTGATCGTACCTGAAACAACCTCCGACATAGAGCTGCAACATTTAAAACGTGAATTGCCCGATTCTGTTGAAGTTAGGACACTGGAAGACAGACTGTCTGCTTTAGGAAACGTGATCGTGTGTAATGATAACGTTGCCTTGGTCCACCCAGACTTAGATAAAGTGGGTAAAAATTCTGGTCAAACAACGCTCGTAACTTACGTATTTACAGGAAAGTGAAGAAATTGTTGCAGACACATTAAAAGTTGAAGTTTTTCGCCACTTGATAGCCAATAATTCTTTAGTAGGTTCATATTGTGTCATGAACAACAATGGAGGCCTAGTTCATATAGATGCAAGTAAAACTGAATTGGAGGATTTATCGTCGCTTCTGCAGTTACAGTTAATTGTAAGAAATATGAACTAGTTTTGAACTGTTAAAAAATTGTGTTATTTCTAGGCTGGGACAGTTAATGGTGGGAATAAAACTGTGGCATCAGGATTAGTCGCAAATGATTGCATTGCGTATGCAGGAATGAAAACAACAGGGAAAGAATTTGCGTCTATTGAAACAGCGTTACAGTTGAAAATTCATTAATGTATTTAAATCGTTATGTGATAATTTATTGTATGTTTTTTCTCATGCATTGATGACTGTGATAATAATTATACGTATTTTTAGAAGCTTGTGTTTACTTGGAAATTTCAAAAAATTGTTTGACGAATAACTAGAGCACAACTTCTTGTACCCCTATAAAAAGTTTCAGTTGATTTGTACAATTGGTTCTCAAAATATTCGTTTCCATACATTCTAACGACCTTGTATAGATATTTCGAACTGAGGGCTTGTTTAAACCGTGACCTATGTATGATGTATATGTACATGAACCAAAGGCAAAGCTTTGTAAATATGTTGTAAAGTCTTAAATTATTTAACAATGTAGTCAGCCAACGATAGTTTCAATAATATGACGAACAGTGATATTAAATGTTGTAAGCTGTAAGCTTTGAAGTTCGTATGTACAATTTTCTTTGTAATTTTATAAAAATGGACTATTTAAACAAAAATTAATAGTATCCGACGCCACAGTCCTTTTCAACCAGTATAATTAGTGAAATACAGATTTACACCTGAAATGTGTAAAACTTCGACTATTCTATAAACACGGGTGATTTTTTTTGTTTTCATTGTATGTAAATTCGCTGTTCATATTAAAATTTTTAACAGCTCATGATTTCAGCACAATGTAACTGCAATCATGGGAAATTGTCCTTTAAAACACGTGACAGAATTTCTCTTATTCAGGCTCAAGATATTTTAAATTAATTATTATGTATCTAAAAGTGGTTATCACTTGGGATTTATAACAGTTCATTCAAACTAATCTTAAACGTTGATCTATTTTAAGAGTAATGAGCTTGAAAATTTTCATCAGTAAAATGAATAATACCGTGGATTGGGGAGTGTAGGGTTTCATCTGTGCTTGTTTTGGTGATGTTGTTTGTGTATCACCGTTTGCGTTTGGCAAGCTGAATTTGGAGATTTTACCGTTAACATAAACATTCAACACGTATTCATAAACTACAGGTGGAGGAGTATGTTATTTACTGTTGGTGGGGATGATTAGACAATGTTTGATTAGCGGTTTACCATCTACACGATATTCCTAATATAGGTTCGTAGAAAATTTTACGACAATCGGTCCAGTAGTTTCGGAGATTATTAGAAATGAAACCTGAGTTGTAAATCTAACCAACTCTATGAATCACTCGACGACCGTCTCATATTATGTTGTTGTGTAATAATTATGAAATTATAATCTATTGATCGGTATCTATAGTAGTTATTGCACAATATTATCACAACACTGCACAATTCAGTATGTAAAACGTGCAACGGTGTAAGTTTTTTAACGCAGTGCATTCGTATCGTTCAGTGCTGTTACACGACAAAAAAGTCTTTAATAGTTTTAACAATGTCCGTTGAACAAAGTGGTAAATTAAAACAACAAACAGAGCCGGAAGTAGTTGCGACTCGTAATTATACAAGCCTCAGAGAGAAAGATAGCTGGTGGTACATAGCTCGGTACACAAAAGAACATAAAAATGAATGTGGAGATACTGACCTATCGGCCCAAGCGTTTCGAACCCGAAGGGCACGACATGGTTACATTTGGGAAGATAAATGGACACAAGCCTTAAGAACAAGTATTGGTAATAGTGACGATGTTGGCGCATTTCTTAACTTGACGAATTCCTATCTGCTCGTTTGTGATGAGGAGGAATCGGACAACTTTTGCAAGTAATTTCATAATTTTTAATAAACTTTGGTTAAAATTATTAATCCTGTAAATATTTTTTAGAGTCGCGCAGGATGATTTGCCTAACATTCCTGTGGTGAAAACCTCACTGGCAGGCTGTAGAGTAATAGGTCGTATGTGTGTAGGGAATAAAAATGGACTGATCGTACCTGAAACAACCTCAGACATAGAGCTGCAACATTTAAAACGTGAATTGCCTGATTCTGTTGAAGTTAGAACACTGGAAGACCGACTCTCTGCTTTAGGAAACGTGATCGTGTGTAATGATCACGTTGCTTTAGTCCACCCAGATTTAAATAAAGTGGGTACAAATTCTGGTCAAACAACACTCGTAACTTGGGTATTTACAGGAAAGTGAAGAAATTGTTGCAGACACATTAAAAGTTGAAGTTTTTCGCCACTTGATAGCCAATAATTCCTTAGTAGGTTCATATTGTGTCATGAACAACAATGGAGGCCTAGTTCATATAGATGCAAGTAAAACTGAATTGGAGGATTTATCATCGCTTCTGCAGTTACAGTTAATTGTAAGAAATATGAACTAGTTTTGAACTGTTAAAAAATTGCGTTATTTCTAGGCTGGGACAGTTAATGGTGGGAATAAAACTGTGGCATCAGGATTAGTCGCAAACGATTGCATTGCGTATGCAGGAATGAAAACAACAGGGAAAGAATTTGCGTCTATTGAAACGGCGTTACAGTTGAAAATTAATTAATGTATTCAAGCCCTTACGTGATAATTGTATGTTTTCCCCGTGCATTGACGACTGTGATAATTATACGTATTTTTATAAACTTGTGTTTGCTTGGAAATTTCACTTTGTAATTTTTTTTGTTATACTGGTGAGCATTATAATAACGGTTCCCTGACCAAATTTCAATGCAACACAAAATACATATCTCATAAATAACACTTTTTATATTTTATTTTTCTAAAATGTACAAACATAGTTGCCTAGTAGCTAATTTTCTCTTTCGCAATAATTCTATTTGTCAAATTTTGAGCTCTGATAAGTTTTTAGTTACCCTGTACAGGGTCGCTAGAATGTATGAAACTGTTAAATATCTTGAGAACCAATTTCACAAATCAACTGAAATGAGGTAAAGGGGTACAAGAACTTGTGCTCTACTTATTCATCATAAAAAAATTGTTTCCTTCATTTGGTTTCGGGATGCAAGGAAGACTTGATTTTTTTTAAATGACATTACCATTATATTAATGCATTTTTGAATAGAGCTTCTTCTGAATTCATTAATATGGCACCATCATACTGTTACGAAATACACCTTTAGGCCGCCCCGGTACGACGCCTATGGCCGTCGAGAGCTTTCTGCTGGTCGTACGCGTGCGATGAGTCATTATCCCACGCGTACGCGGTGTTCGCATAAAGACAAGTCTGGAGCCGGCCACCGGAAGTCTCGATTGTAGGGATTTATTTAAATAGAGGCCACCGTCGGAAACCTTTCATTCAGTCAAGAAGTCGAGTGAGCGAATGGATTTAAGTTGCAAAGTTATTTTGTATAATTTAGTAATAGTTAGACGTGTAATTCGAGTGAGTTATTAAGAAATAAACTGTTGAGTTTACCTACGTCAATTTAATTCGCCTGCACAGACGTAACAATACTTTCTTTCTGACTGAAATGGAAAAATTAATTATTAAACCATACTTGAATAAATTAAAAATTAATTAATATTAAAGAATAAATAAATTAACTAGTAGTAAAAGTGAGGGGCATAAGTAGAGGGAGCGGATGCTTAAGTAATGAAATAGGAAAAGAGAAGAAGATATGGGTATGGAATGAAAAAGGAATTGAGCATTATAAAAAAAATGTTGGAAGTGGAATTTAAAGAAAAAGGAACTGAAAAGAAAATGGAACAATTAAAAAGAGAAATTGAAAAAGCAGCCATAAGAAAAGAAATTGTAACGAGAAATTTAGAAAAGAGAAACAGATGGTGGGATAGCAGATGCAAAGATTTAAAAACAGAAGCAAGGAAATGTTTACGAAGATGGAAAAAGGGGAAAGGTATAAAAGAAGAGTACTGGCAAGCAAAAAATAATTATAGAAAACGATGCAAAGACAAGAAAGAAGAGATACAGCAAGAAGAAGAAGAAGAAAAAATTAAAGCCATAAGAACTAAGCAAGAGGCATGGAAGTATATAAATAAAGAACGGAAGAACAAAATCACGATTAGTGAAAACATACCTAATATACAGTGGAAGAAGCATTTTCTGGAACTGTTAAATGGAAAGGAAGACAGAATTGTAGCGCAAGATAGTAAAACCGGGAATGGTGGTAGAGAAAGGGAGGCTGATATTCGAGTAGAGGAAGTAGGAAAACAAGTAGGAAGACTGAAAAGAGGAAAAGCACCGAGGAGGGATGGGTTGGTAAACGAAGTGTGGATATTTGAGACGGATGGGATGATTAAAAGATTGAGCGAGTTAATGAATGATCTGTGGACGGGTAAAGGTTTTCCCAGGGAATGGAGAGTAGGGCAAATATGCCCAATTCATAAAAAGGGTAATAAAGAAAAAGTAGAGAATTATCGGGGAATAATAACTCTCCTAAATACGGCATATAAACTGTATGCAATGGTGTTAAATGAAAGGTTGGTGACAGAGATGAACGAAAAGAGTATATTACCGGAAAGTCAAGCGGGATTTAGAAGAGGTAGAGGGGCTATGGACAATGTATATATCCTGCATCATCTAATAGAAAAAGAGTTGCTAAAGGAAGGAGGTCAGGTATATGCACTGTTTGTAGACCTAAGAGCCGCGTTTGATACGGTGGACAGAGAGTGTTTGTGGGAATGCATGGAGAGAAGAGGACTGAGTGAAAAGTTAATTGCAACAGCAAGAGAGATCTATAGAGAGACAGTGACTAGTGTGAGAGTGAGAGGAATAGAAAGTGAAATGTTTTGGACGACGAAAGGATTGAGACAGGGATGCCCATTAAGTCCGAGTCTGGTTGCTTGTTACATAACCGATATCGAGGAAATGTTTAGAGGAGTACAAGCGGGAGGAATTGTGGTGGGGAGAGAAAAGGTATGGTATTTGGAATTTGCAGATGATTTGGTAATATTGGCGAAGGATGAAGGTGGAATGAATGAGATGAAAAAAAAATCTGCAAAGATACTTTAAAAGAAAGAAACTGGAGGTATAAATGTAGAAAAAAACAAAAATGATGGTGTTTAGAAAAGAAGGAAGAAAAGGGGAGGAAAAAGTGTGGCGTTGGGAAGATCGAATCATAGACACAGTAAAGGAGTTTAAATATTTAGTATTTAAGTTTACAACAACTAACACGGTAAAAGCACACGTAAGAGAAAGAAGGGTCAAAGCAATGCAGATAATCGGAATGGTGTGGAGTATAGGTGAGAGAATATTTGGACATGACGTAAGAAGAAGAATGAACAGGGGCGGCTGGTCAGGGGCGGCAGGGTCGGCCACGCCGTACCAGTCATTTTAAAATACTTAGTAAGCGTTGAAATTAGAAAATAAAAAAAGAAATAAAGTTTGAATGTACGTTAGGATAGATCATATATATTAAAAATATATTTTATTATATTGTAGTTACAAAATAAAGCATTTGTTGCTAATTTTAAATGCTGATAAACACGCTTTGCCGGCGAGATTTCGGCACGCCGTATCGAGGAATGCATTATGCTCGATGTTTCGACTTCGTAGCAGCTTACGGTTTCATCGTTCATCGTTGTCTAGTACACTGTAGTAGACAAAGACCTGGCGGAACGTATGTTGTGCCAGGTCCGGCGAAATCCTCTTTCGCCGTACCCAGCAACGCGAATTTAGTTTTTAAAACGCTTAATATTTAAGATAGCTAACCAAATTACAAAACAATAACGGCTTCGATGTTCTTCAGTGCATACTATTTTTTTTTTTAATAATAATAATTGTCGATTTAATACATTTTCCTGTGTATGAATAATAAACGAAAAAAATTACATTAAATTATCTAAAATTTTATTTTTCGGACATAACTTAGCTACAACATAAATGCGCTTTTTCTGTATTTTTAGCATCTAAGCGTTTTCAGATATTTCAGAAACGAATTTAAAGTTTTAAATCATTTTAATTTTTCAATTATTCAATTAATTTATTTGACAATTTGTCATATACATTAAAAAAAAATAAATGTAAATGAAGATAGTTAACAGTTGGTACTTTTATTATTACTTTTTTTTATATTTTTTAACTGCATGTCATTATTTAATTATTATTATTTAATTGTGGATGTCCGGGGTCGGCAAGCCGTATAGCCGCCGGTCGACGCGGAACTCAGTAAAAATAATGTTTTCGGTGGTTCTCAATTAATGATAAAGCAGAACAAGTAGAATTAAGGATTAACAGTATTTGGAATCAAACTGACATTGTCAATTTCCTATAAAAAATTATTTTAACAGGTCGAAACATTTGAGATGTTTTGTACATCCTGGCACGTAAAATGTCAGTGGTTAATGAGTAGCAGCCATACATTACGAAAATATATAACACCAAGGTGTAGACTCAAAATATTTGGCCGACCCGGAATTTTGACCCACCAGCCGCCACTGAGGATGAAAATGTTTGATAGTTTAGTTAAGAGTGTATTAATGTATAGAGTGTAGATATGGGAATGGAAAGAATATGCAGAGATGGAAGCAGTACTAGAAAAATATTTGAGGTGGATGTTAGGGCTACGGAAAGAGACACCAGGCTATATAGTAAGAGAAGAATGTAAAAGAGAGAAATTAAGAGTATACACTGGGAAAAAGAGTTGTAAAGTATGATGAAAGGTTGAAAGAAAGAGAGGAATGTACGATATTGTATGAATGCTGGAAGGAAAAAAAAAAGGAAGCGGAGAAAGAACATCACAAGGGTAGACGAGGATATTATGAAAGACTGGAATACGCATGGATGGAAATAGAGAGAAAGAGAGAAATAGAAATGGGGGTGAGTATGAGAGAAGAGTTGTGTATGCGTGACAGAGACATAGATAAACAAGAGAGAAGAGCGAGTGTAAGTAAATCTAGACACAATGCTGACTATAGAAAGTAGAAAGATAATATAACAGAAACAATACCAAAGTACCTAAACAGAGAGCAAAGAAAGAGAGGAGAGTGTGATAGAGATATTGAACGAAAACGGAAGAGGGATGAAATGGATGAAAGAAGTGGGGAGGACAAGAGTAAGGCTGGGGCAAGGGGAGATGGGATAAAGGAAAAAAAATAGTTATTTGGTTTATAAAATGTTTTATTTAGTTTTTGTTAATTAGGAAAAAAAATGTAGTGTTGTAAATCAAGAATCTTTTAAGCCCGTAGGGTAAAAATAAACACTTACTATATTATCTGAAAACAGATTTCCTGGATCACCTTGTAAAAATGATCTTTTGGAATCCATAAACTTATATACATACTCTAAAAATATATATGTACCGAGTTTAATGCAAAAATCTTATTACCAAAAAGTATGTATTTATGGAAAGTTTATTTAAAAAAGAGAGTGTTATATATGTTACCACCTTTTGTTTTTTCCTTGTGTCATTATTTCCGAAATGAATTTTGAAAGCTGTCATTTACTTGTCAGCTTGTCACATTGACTGTTGTGGATTAATAACATTTAAACGGAGTTTGACCAGAGATAATAGAGATATGACAGCTCGCAAAATTAAGCGACAATAGTCCTTATGTACTGTGCCCCAAACCGTCACTTTCGGGCGCGCTATTTAAATTTGAGTGAAACTTTCGTAGCGCGGCTATTTGATTACCAGGGATATTTCCAATCGTAAGAATATACCAAAAGTGGTTAATCTTTCTTCCAAAAATACTAGGTTGCTCATAAATGGAAAAAGACAAGATTAAAAAAATTACAATCATTAAGTTTATTCGAAAAATGATTGCATTATATCTAACATTTGTTGGTGCTTTTGTAATGTTTACATCCTGATTAATAGTAAATGGATAAAAAAAAACATTAAATTACTCAAAATGCTTGTATTAACTTTTCTTATCCTTTAAAACTCTAAAATGTGCATACACAACACAAACTGTACAATTTTATAGCGAGGATAATAATAAAAGTACCCTCTAGCTCATTCAAAGATTGTTATTACAACCTAACGTTGAAATTCAAGGACGACACTTTAAGGGGTACAAATACAGTTATAATATTGAATGTTACCTTTTCATTGCGAAGATGACTTTAGTCACTTTTAGTTCTGTGCGGGTGTTAATAAAATTATTTTTATCCTCATATTATTAATAGTTATTTACATCACACTTTATTAGAATATAACCAAATACAAGCTATTGTTCTGTATAAAATATATGCAGCACAACCCAACTGGTAATTGTGCTTCTGATTTAGCAACATTTTGTGGGGGCTAACAAATCCCACAAAATTGTGCAACATGTAATATTTGTATAGTCTGTATTTATTGACTTCCAACCACTATCATCCTGAAACTTTCTCTTCGTACACCTGCATGTCGTAAAACCTATCTTTTGTTCGCCCTTCCCAATAATTCTTATCCTTCGAAGATTTCGAGTACCTTCTAAGAACCCTTTCGACACAACCGTTTCACCGCTCTCTACCGACCTGTCTTTTCATTTTCAAAATCACAGACAACACTCTTCGCTTTTCCCTTATCTACTGAACCGACAACATTAAAAATAAATACACCACAAACGCAAGTCCTCTTTTAATCATCTGATCACACCACAATTCTTATCTGCTAATGAAGATATCTCCAATTTAAGTGAGAGGTACAACATCCCCACCATAATTAATAATTCCCAACCATCTCATAATGCCCTAAAAATAGATAGGATAGAGTACAAAGAGTTTGATTTAGCTGAACAAAATATCTTACGATAAATATGTGGATACTCAGTGGATGCATGCTTAAAACACTCTTCTCAGATATGCTGTGAATATACAAATGCATGTGGCAGAAATTCTAGAACTACATTATTGTCGTTTCCAAGCCCACAATTCTGAAACTTTATCTTATGGCAATCTTAATGTTTCGTATGAACAGTTTGCATATTACATTGAACAATTAGAAAATGCCTTCAGTAGATAATACACTTTCGCTTCAAGTTCCCAGACAACTTAAAAACCAGCTGGCCTTAATAGCATCCATGTAGTAATCTCCCCCTTGATTACCTTTTGTCATTATTTGTGCGATTACGTATATTTTATACATTGAAATTCCATAATAGGGAACTACAGAAGCAACCTAAAAAACAGAGTAAATTAATCATTTTGTCCCATTTATAGAGCATTTGCCAGTTTCATCGATTAATAATTAATTATAGCTGCAGAAAATCATCGGTTTACTTATCGATGTTATTTTTATAGAACTATTCCTGTACTTACCAATAGTATATTGTTTGTTAAAATGTATGTAACTGTAATAAATACATACATACATATGCAGTTAACATGACTTTTCTTTTATAATTTGAAACCATCGCATCATATTTAATTGAGGTTATCTCAGAGTTCGTGTTTTTCGTTCGTTATGTCACTTTTACTAGTAATATATTTAGTAACATTTAACATAGATATTAAGATATCAGGTTTACCACCACAAATGTTGTGCCCCCAACCATCCTTTACGTCAAATTCTGTGTTCACTTCGCTCCCATGCATTTCTTATGGAGCATTCAAAAGCTGTCATATCTCTGTTATCTCTGGTTTGACTTTATCCATGGCCGACTAGTATAAAGATTATTTATTTATTTATCTTTATACTAGTCGGCCATGCTTTATCATCGAAAATGACAATTGTCTTGAATACTGTGACAAACACTACGACAATACGACATACTGAAACAAACAATAAAATAAGAGACAGCCCTCTTGACTCCTCTTTAGTTTTTTTTAAATTAGGCAACCATTATAACACTGTGGTCATAACCCCCAGTATTAATCTTATTCAGTATTGCACAATATTGTTACAGATCCCACAAATGTATAAATTGGCGTATAAATTGTGGACTGGTACACGAATTTTCAGTAGTGCATTTACATCGTTGTGTGTTTACACGTTTGCAACAATTTTAACAATGTCCGCAGAACCAACTGGCGAATTAGAACAACAAATAGAACCAGAAGTAGTTCCGACTCGTAATTATACATGTACCTGGGAGAAAAATCGTTGGTGGTATATAGCTCGATATTCAAAAGATTATAAATATTGTTACGGAAATACCCAGGATTTGTCGGCCCAAGCTTTTCGTACCCGAAGATCACATAGCGGATATGTATGGGAAACACAAAAGAAGTGGACACAAGCTTTAAGAACAAGCATTGGTAATAGCGACGATGTTGGCGCATTTCTTAACTTGACGAATTCCTATTTGCTCGTTTGTGATGAGGAGGAATCAGACAACTTTTGCAAGTAATTTCACAATTTTCAGAAAACGTTATTTATGTTATTAATCTTGTAAATATTTCTTAGAGTCGCACAGGACGATTTGCCTGACATTCCTGTGGTGAAAACCTCACTGGCAGGTTGCAGAGTAATAGGGCGTATGTGTGTAGGGAATAAAAATGGACTGATCGTACCTGAAACAACCTCTGACATAGAGCTGCAACATTTAAAACGTGAATTGCCCGATTCTGTTGAAGTTAGAACACTGGAAGACAGACTGTCTGCTTTAGGAAACGTGATCGTGTGTAATGATCACGTTGCTTTGGTCCACCCAGATTTAGATAAAGTGGGTAAAAATTCTGGTCAAATAACACTCGTAACTTACGTATTTACAGGAAAGTGAAGAAATTGTTGCAGACACATTAAAAGTTGAAGTTTTTCGGCACTTGATAGCCAATAATTCCTTAGTCGGGTCTTATTGTGTCATAAACAACCATGGAGGCCTAGTTCATATAGATGCAAGTAAAACTGAATTGGAGGATTTATCATCACTCCTACAGTTACAGTTAATTGTAAGAAATATGAATTGGTCTTGAACTGTTAAAAAATTGTGTTATTTCTAGGCTGGGACAGTTAATGGTGGGAATAAAACTGTGGCATCAGGATTAGTTGCAAATGATTGCATTGCGTATGCAGGAATGAAAACAACAGGCAAAGAATTTGTGTCTATTGAGACAGCGTTACATTTTCCAATACATAAGTGTAGTTAATAGTAATAATTGTACTTTTTTGTGTTTGATAAATTGATGACTGTGATAATTACATATTTATAAGAATTTCATGTTTATATCTTGCAACCTTACTTTTTTGTGGTGTTATAAAACGAAATTTTAGGTATTTAATAACCAAAATGTCCTGTATTGTAAAAAATGTGTTCTTCCAAATTTTGTCTATTGAATTTTAAGGTCTTGACTAGTAAACATTGAATGTGATCCTGGTTGCCTATGTAATGTGTGTAATTTAGACAAAGAGCCTATAGCACAGTATAGACATCAATTGGTAGGGACAACTCGTGTCGGCGCCTTTAATCTTTCTGACTCGAATTTTAAGCCGTCATGGGTGGTCGTTGCCTAAATTATTTATAGATGTCGCCACCCAATTTAAAAATTATCACAATCGCAAAAGAATTAAAATAGTGTAAAAACAATGAAAGTTTGTAGTTGATCTTACAAATCACACAGTATACTACAAAAATAATAAATTAAGCGCCCTATAACACCGATGTCGTGTTGAAATTAAGATTTGGCCCCGCTTTTCCGATTACGATTTTACGTTTCATTAATTTCTTTTCAATGTTCTTGTGGTTGTAAAATTCAACGTTGTTAGAAAACGCTAATATACATTTTATTTTTTTACAAAAAAATTAAACAGTAAACAATGGTTCCATCAAAACATGAACAATGTTTTTTAGAATGTCTGTGAAAATTACACTTAACTAAACTTCCAAATTTCAAATATTTCACATTAGTCACTAGATAACCAAAGTACCTCAGTTCAATGTTTCAATGTGTAAGAAAGAGAAGTATCTTGCGTTGCGCGCCCTCATACGGTCACAAGACAAACGACCACCCATGAAAACGGGTCAGTGAAAATAGCGAGTTGTCCCTACTGAATGATCTCTATACTGTGCTGTGGCCTACAACTGTTGTATGAGTATGCACCTTACTATACGCAGTCGTATATAAAGTTGCGGATATTATTTACTGTACTTTAAAAAAAAGCGGCATAAATGACATGAATGTGTTAAGGGGACAAAATCTCTTGTTCTTGATAAATGCTACTTCTTAACCCTTAACATCTCTGTTATAGATCTTGGACGCACCTGCACTATCACGTTTCTTCGTGATATAATTCCTGCGTTGGACTACTGAAAACACTCAAAACGTAATTATTAGGACGTATGTATCAGGTGAACGTTATTTGCGACGAACGAATAAGCGAAAAAAGTCTAAACTTTATATTTTGTAGAATGGACAAACGCAGAACAAAAAAGTATAGAAGCCATGGAAGTACCTAGGTAGGTACCTCCATAATAGACGCGGAATTTTGTTCGAAAGTAAAAAGGGCTACAAAATCACTTATGTTATTATAAAAATTTGTTAATCGCATCTAATCACTATTGTTTCCAGTGTTAACAGTTGTCAGTTGTCCAAAATGGGCAATCTTTTTATGATTTTAAATTTTATATAAGAAAGTCAATTTTTGTATATGTGACCAACAATATTATAGAAAGTGATAATTATTAAAATAAGGATTAAAAACCAATCATGTTCCAAAATAAAAAACACTTTTCCTAGAACTGTGAATGATAAATTATTATAAGAAACTTTATACATATATTTGCATACGAGTTTACACATACAGGATTATGATAAAGTAATGCACAAAATTAATAAAAAGCGCAGCATTTGCAATGCAAAAACATGTTAAGCTTTCTATTTTACTATACATCTTTTGATATTTTTGATCTTACTAATGAATAATAAAGAAGGATAAGTATTGGTTTTTATACTCGAAAAATCTCTGCAATTTCGGTATATAAAGCCGTACGATTTGAATGCATTTTGTACTGCGTCGTTAATATGGTCCACAAATGTAAAAGATGTATCAAAAATGATACCTAAATATTTGATCTTTTGAGATCTGTTTAGAGTGACACCATCGATCATCTAGGAATACAACAAAGGAACTTTTTTTAGTGTATGATATAACAAAACATTTTGATACATTTAAATATAATTTATTCAGGGCACAACATCTAAATAAAGAACATAAATCAGCGTGTAAATTCTCACAATCCAGGACTGAATTAATCTTAGCGTATATTTTCAGATCATCTGCGAAGAGTAACTTATCGTTATTGATAAATTCGGGTAGATCATTGACAAATAGGAAAAACAAGAGAGGATTTAAATTTGAATCTTGAGGAATCCCCGAAGTTGGAGTATAGGGTTCAGACCAGAAATTCCGATATCTCACTGAATGGTGCCGATTAGTCATGTATGAAAATAACAAACTGGAAAGAGTTCGAAAAACCAAGAACTGACAATTTATTTAATAGAATGTTATGATCTATGCTGTCCTCTATTATCGAGAGTTTCCGAAACAAATTGTGTAATGCACCCCAAATTCGTTATTGTCGATCTCTGGTTCACAAAATCATGTTGGTAAGGAGAGATAATATGTTTGATAGTTGAATAAATCTGGTTATACAATCACGATTCAAAAATTTTTGCGAAGTTGCACAATATAGAAATGGGTCTATATAGTTATTTATTTGAGCAGGATGTCCTTTTTTAAGAACTGGAGTTACACAGGCTTTCTTCCATATGTATAAATTTATTATTCTTTATTACTGGATTAAACAAAATATATAGAGGAGTAACAAGTATGGAGGCACAATCGCGTAATAGAAAATTCGGTATCCCATCAGCACCGGAAGTTAAAGTGTTGTTGCTACGTTTTAATGCACTTATAATCTCTTTTTCACTAATATGTGAAATTGTCACCACTTCATTTGATACATGTTTAATTTCGGGGTTACATACATAATTAGGATCTGATGAGATAGTATACACAGACTGAAAATATTCTTTAAATGCGTTTACTATTTCATGGGGTGGGGTCAATTCTGCTCCATTGAGGTGGACACATCCGGGTATTCTTGTTTGAAATTAAATTAATCTAACTTATGAATCATCGTAATTTTTTAATTCTTTGAATCATCTTTTACACCCTTCTGTTTCATACTTCTTTTAATTGTTCAGAATTTTTACTTAACTGTGTCATGGTTTTTTTTTCTTCTGTTCTTCTAAACGAACCATTTATTTTGCCTTCGTTTTCTCATCAAAACTAATTCTATTCTCCCATTTTGCCATTTTTGTTCCTGTATTTTTTTTTCTTCTTAATTTCTTAGAAGAAATTAAGAAGAAGAAAGAAAGAAGAAGAATCTTCATCTAGAACGAAATTTCGTTTCTGATTTTTTTTCTCTGAGAATATCTACGACAAAATTATTGTATACTTTGAAATTAAATTCGTCTAACTCATAAATCATCGTAGTTTTTTACTTCTTTGGATCATTTTTTACACCTTTCTTTTTCATTCATCTCTTAATTTTTTGATTTTTTTGCTTCTATTCTTCTAAATGATCTATATATTTTGCCTTCGTTTTCTCATCAAAACTAATTCTAAGCTTCCCATTTTGCAATTTTGTTCCTTTATTTCTCTTTTCTACTTAATTTCTTCTAAGAATGGCCTAATCTCAATGATCTTCGTCTAGAACAGAAATTTCGTTTCTGATTTGTTTTCCCTGAGAATATCCCTTACCAAATTATTCTATACATTGAAATTAAATTCTCTTAAATTTTCATAATTTTTTACTTCTTTGGATTATCTTTTACACCCTGCATTTTCATTCTTCTCTTAATTGTTCAAAAATTTTACTTAATTTTGTTATTTTTTTCATTTCTTCTATTCTTCTAAATGATCTTTTAAACTTTCTCATTTTAGCAAGAACTAGCCCCACCCACCCACCTTCTTCTCATTCTAACGACAAATTTTATTTCTGTTTGGTATAAAATCACTAATTTCATTCAGATCGGATAAAATCAATCACTGAAAAGGAGACAGAGTGGGTGGGCGGGGATAATTATTAATAACTAATTCCTCAAATTCTACCAAGTTAGACGAGCCAGTTCTCGAGGGAAGGGTGCTTTTTAAATTATTGATTGCCTTATTTGCTAAAGCTTATTTATCTGCATATGAAAATGTATAGAAATTGTTCAAACTGTTCCCCATTCACTATCTGACACAAACCCAGACGATGGTAGACCTGATTGATGGAAATTTCAATACTCTGAGGAATTATACGAGTCATTTCATGACGAATTTGTGCTTTCAAGTCGTCTAAATTATTGGGTCTGTTCATGTAAACACGACTTTTTAAATGTCTCCGTAAAAAAAATCAAGAGATGTCAGATCCGGAGACCTAGGTGGTCATTCTATTTATCCACGCCTTCCAATCCATCTTCCATTAAATTGACTATCCAAAAAAATCCTTACATTTGCGCCATAATGTGGCGGTGCCCCATGCTGTTGGAACCAAATTCTGTTTGGATGGAATTTGAAAATAGAAAAACAGAAGGTAAATGAGAACAATGTACAAGAAAGTAAGAAACAAGTTACCAAAGAACCAAAGAACAAAAGTCGGGGCAGCTAAGAGAAGAGAAAAAATAAATATTACACGAAGAAAAGTAGCAGTACTGATGTAAATATGTAGAATGAATATGTTAGAAGAAAAGGAAGCAGAAACAAAGAAAAAAGAAAAAATATTTGTACAAAACTTAAGACGTCAAACTTTCTACCTCTGATAAATCTCCAAACTCATCATCTTTTGGCATTTCTAATTAACCAACTATACTGTTTTTCGTAAAGATCGTTCTATGGAATATACAAGTTTGTCTAGAGGTGGCGGAGTTGTTTTTGCCGCTAAAAACTGTTACTTTTGCATTAAGAACGATTTTTCATTAGTAACCAACATCTTTCCTTCTGTTGATATTGTCGGTACAAGAGTGATTTATTGATAATTGTTAGTTCCCCTGAGATTTAACTTAATCATAGAAGCTACGGAAAAAAGAAAGATATACATATGACATGGGGGGCATAATGGATGGAACGGAAAATGTAGTGAGTTGAAGAGAAAAGCAAGGGAAGAAAATGGAAGAGCAAGCGAAAGCAAGAGAGAATTATAGAAGAGAATGGGAAGAAAGAAAATAGA